ATCAAAGAATCCTTTAAAATCAAATGAACAATAAAAACACATAAATTGATTGTAATAAGAAATGTTTTTGAGCAGCCAATCAGCATATTAGAATGATTTCTGAAGGATCATGTGACTGAAGATTGAGTAATGATTCTGAAAATACAGCTTTCCATCACAGGGCAAAAATTTTTTTTTAAATGTATTCAAATAGAAAACGGTTAATTTAATTGTGAAAATATTTCACAATATCTCTGTTTTTACTGTATTTTTAATCAAATAAATGTAGCCTTGATAAGCAGAAGAGGCTTGTATCAAAAACATTGACCCCAAACTTTTGAATGTTAAACCTCTGTCTGTCTGTCTTGTATGAATTTAATCATTTTATATTTGTGTATTGCTTTTTTAATTACAATAATAATACAATAATATTAATTAATTTTTAAAACATTTATCAGTTACAGTTTTTGTCAATTAATTGAAAACAAAGTTGGATTGCAATTGAATATATATATATTTTAATTTTCTAGGCTAGTGGGGACATGAATAAACTCATCATGATCTGGGATCCGGAGACATGTAAACATGTGTACAAGTTTACAGGACACAGAGGCGCTGTATCAGTGAGTACAAGATGGCTTATGGACGCATGCGTTCTCTGACCTGAGTTTGTTTTTAACGAATCATTATGACTAGATCAGTGTCCAATCCACTGTCCTGTAGAGATTAGCTCCATCCACAGTTAATACACACACCTGAACCTTTTAATCGAGGTCTTCAGACACACTAGACACTTCCAGGCAAGTGTGTTGCTGAACTCTACAGGACGTCGGCCCTCCAGGAGCAGGATTGGACGCTCCTGCTTTAGATGATGGGAAATTCCAAGCTTATATTTAATTTACTTACTGTGTGTACTCATTTGCTCTTCTGCTTCTTCCACAGGGTTTAGCCTTTAGACGAGGGACTCATACCCTCTACAGCGCGTCACATGACCGCTCAATAAAAGTGTGGAGTGTGGACGAGAACGCTTATGTAGAAACCCTGTAGGTATACCAGCTGTTATGAGTATTATAATAAGAAAGATCTCTGTACTTGCTTGTTGCTCACAAGCTTCATTTGTGTTTAATCGTCAGGTTTGGCCACCAGGACATGATCACTGGGTTGGACTGTTTGAGCAGAGAGAGATGTGTGACCGCAGGAGGACGGGACCGAACAGTCCGAGTGTGGAAAATCGCTGAAGAATCACAGCTAGTCTTTCACGGACACGAGTGAGTTTGCAGTTGTGACTATGACCTCAACTTAGCCACGTCAACAGTTATGATTTAATTCATTTTGCCATATCTAAGGATGAGTTCTTGTCACCTTTTTGTGTGTAATGATGTTTATGTCCATGTCCTCTGCCTGTCTGTCTGAAGGGGCTCCATTGACTGTGTCCAGCTTATTAATGAAGAACACATGGTCACTGGTGGAGATGATGGGTAAGAAATCTAGACAGAAAACACTGTCTAGATCTACAAAAAAAAATTAATTTGGAATGATATCTGTTTTTATGTTGGCGTAACAAAAATAGTCACACTCGTTCCCTGCACTCAAAATCGACACAATCATCATTTAACTCAGAAACAACGCTGAACACATATACAGAAATAAAGTGTCACACTTCCAACAATGCTCACCACACACGCACACATACATAGAGGAATACATTTTTGAAACTATAAAAATTGTTGTCTTATCATTTGTAAAATAAAATCATCCAAAATGCGGAACCACCACAAAAATAAATTTGTAACACTGACACATTGAAAATTTATGTACACACACACACACACACACACACACACACACACACACGCGCACGCACACACACTCACACTCTCAAATCCTGACTCCAACAAGACTCCAACATTTCTCTTTGTAACGTTGTTCAGGTTTGATTCTAATCGTAATGTAATTTAAAAAAACTAGTTTTTTTAGTACAAAAAATTGACAACTTTGACAATAAAAAGTATTTTATTTTTATTATAATTGTGATTTTATAATAGTTAGATATGAATGAATCCAACTTGTGAAAAGATACCTTTGGTTACTAAAATAACATATAGTGGAGCTCTATGGCCATCTAGTGGATAAAGTGATTTATTTTTTTAAATTTTATTTTAAAACTGCATTTTCCAAAAAATGGACAGATATCTTACATTAAACCATGTAAAATGATCCATTGAAATATGGGTCTTTTATAAATTGAATTTTACATAAAATGCTTTTTTTTTTTTTTTTTTTTGGAAGAGGCCATTGAAATATTTATTTATTTATTTATAGAAATTTAAAAGATATCATAAAGCCTCCAAAAAGTGCACACATGTTGACTAAAAACATTACTCAACCAAGTAAAATTTTATATATATATATATATATATATATATATATATACTCTATTCTGTACTATTCCGTGCGTGATTCCCAAACGAAGACCATCAGAGGGTTAACAATCGTTTTTGGTCATTGTAATGAAGATAAAATATTACTTAATATTAAAAAATTCAAATTATGAATACAGTATATACTATAATAGTATATAAATAATACTTAAGCAACACTGATTTTATGCTCTTAGAATAAATGATCTGCTTCCATAGATGATAAATATTTACAGAACAAATTTACACATGTGAAATTTGTTATTACTGAAATATGAACTAAAATCTCAGGAGGTGTTTCAGTAAATTTTTTAGCTCAAAGGATTTTGGTTCTCAAAAAACTTTTGAAATCCATGCTTTAATGCATACGTGATGCCATATCGTCCTTCTGTGGTTTTGTCCAGCTCTATTTCTATTTGGACGGTTAATAAGAAGAAGCCGGTGTGCACAGTGAAGAAAGCCCACGGTAGCCATGGCAACACGGGTCTGGAGCAGCCATACTGGGTCTCGTCTGTGGCGGCGCTGCACAACTCCGACACCGTGGCATCAGGTGCCTCAGGTGCACACACACACACACACACACAGGCAACAAACCCAGCGCACTTAAATCTACAGCCGCCCACAAACTCGTATTTGCTTTTGTCTCACAAACACATGATTACCCTCAAGTACAAATATTACCATCATAATCTGTCCTCGTTCCACTTTGACCTTGTCCACAAAGCACTCCGCCTTCTGTATTTCCATACGAGACTGCTCTCCAAACACCTGATCATCATCAACATCATTGTTGTTCCGCCGCAGGCTCCCATAATTCAGCGGTGCAGCTGTGGAAGTGTGGGCAGGGATTCAGAGGCCTGGAGCCGCTCTTCAGCATCCCTGTGGTGAGCAGAACACATCCATACAGCTCTAATAGACGGTTTGCGGTCCGTCTGCTATTGAATCACGTCCTTTTGTGTGTGTGGATAAAGTGGCATACTTCATCTGGAGAGGAGGAATAATGAACCAGTTCATAAAACCGCTGTTTTCCAACCGCACAGCGGCCGCACGTCACGTGATGTCTCTTACAGTAACCCTCAGTATAATGAATGCTAATCATTTCTGTTTTAGACTGGATTTGTGAACAGTCTGAAGTTCTCAAACTCTGGGAAGTTTCTTGTGGCGGGAGTTGGACAGGAGCACAGGTGAAGTGTTTTGACACTAATGTTTGTTGATCAGTGGTTTAGTTGAATGGAAAATCAGTCTGAAATCACATACTCCATTGAGTATGTAATTATTTTGGTTTAAGTACGTTCTATATGGTTTGATGTCGTAGCTTCTCTGCCATTCTCACATCCTTTCCCGTATTCTCATGGGATAGTAAAGTGTTCATCGTTTGCACCGTAGATATCCATAATAAAGGCTAGATGTCTCGTCCGTGCTACTGGCCAATGGAGGTCGACGTCCGCACCTGGCGGACATCTTGTCACAGGCAGCTCGCTCAAACCATAACTCTCAATTTTCTATCGATTTTCAAACGGTTTGGTTTGTAAAAAACGTCAGAGATGTAGTTATGACACTGCATACTTATGAATTATACGTTTATAAATAATCATCCAAAATTATAGCCACGTTAATAACCAAACCAAATCCGTCAAGATTTCAACGAGAACAGAGTATTTGTGTTTGTGCCGATCACTCATCTTACATCAGCTTGCCTGTGACAAGATGGCCGCCGGCGATGACGATATAGACTCCGCCGTAAGACATCTAGCCTTTATTATGGATATCTATGGTGTGCACACTTCAGAATCTCACATGAAGTCGTTTGGATTTGCTTCTTTTATTACACACCGTTTTTAACCTAGTATATAGTAGGGAAGTGCGATTTCAATATCACATTGATCGTATTAGTCATTAAAACCCATATCCTGCACATAATAGATGATTTTGATCTTCTCTAGGAGGTTAATTTTGTTATTAGTGATCTTTATAAGTTGAGTTACTCCAAGGGATATGGATGACTTTTTTTTATTAATGTATTAATAATATAATTGTTTTCTTTTTTTTTTTTTTTTACTCGTTACATTTATTTTATAAAAATCAATGCAAGGCCTGATTTTATACAGTAACAGTGACTACCACTAGATGGCAGTAGTGTGAAGTGAATTGTCCCTTTGTGTGTAGCATTTCCACATTGTTGACATTCTTTAGCTCAGTGTGTCCCTTTTTGTTCTGTCTTTTTGTTAAGGTTGGGCCGATGGTGGAGAATAAAGGAAGCTAAAAACGGACTGTATATCATTCCTCTGAAAAGACAAGCGAAAGAGCAAGAAGTGGTCCAGTAACGGGGCCTGATCTAGGATATGAATTTGGTATCTGAGGACTTTTGGTTGGCTTTTTTTGTTTTCTTTACATGTCAGAAGATGGTGTAAAAGAGAAGCTTTTGATTAAATTTCTATTGTGTTTATCTGTTTCTCTACTTAAATCTACAGCTCTATATACAAGCACAAATGTGTTATTAGTGGTAGAGTCTTCATGTTAAATTCAAATGAATTGGTAGAGGAGTGGTGTGAACTAAATGAAGACTTCAGGGATTTATTTGTTATATTTTTTAAAAAATAATTTATTTACATATATTACAAGTATAACACTGACTGGTTCACAAAAATTCACATTAGAACATCTGTATTGTTACCTACTTTTTTCTCAAAACGGACAAGTAAGAATTTAATGCAAGTTCAAAAAAGGGAAATACATAATATAGTTAGTTTTTCCATCTTGCAACGACACCTAAACTAATCAATGAGGAACGTTAGACTTTATACCACAACACTAAAAAGACAAACTCATCTCTAAATGAAGTTGGACTATTTTACCACCAAACTAAAATGAGAAATTGGTTACAGTCTCCCATTTACTGAGAATACAGCATCTAAAATCACATACCCTGGGGTACATTAAAAAAAATCATAATATATTTTGTGCAAGTCTCATTGGTGATCAAAGTCCTGTGGTTGTAGTAATCACGAAACTGAAACATTCATTTATCATGCCTTTCCCCAACGACGATTCGATGAAGTCCAACGAAATACAATTATAAAGACTGAGAAATCAAAGTCTACTGTTAACATTACTTAGACTAGTCAACATCATTTGTAGTGTACATAAATAAAGGGCACATATTGCCAAGTCTAGTTGCTGCGTCAAAACAACTGGTCACTTGTCAAGTGGCTTTAAATTTATTAGGCTAGCTCATTGGCACATGGATTCATAATCACATTTACAATGGTCCTTGTCCTTTCAAGCTCTTGATCATAAAGAAAACCTTAATTGTGTAACTGAAAGACAAAAACATGCTTGGTCAAGATAGAGGCGACCACGGGATCATTTGGGACACCAACAAGTGTTCAGGATAAGATCATGAGATAAACTGAGATTGACTCCAAATATTTGATTACAGTATCAAATAAAGAGCACAAGTCTACGAAATTGCTTTCAACTCCTGATTTTGATGATTTGATATAAAATTGGCCCCATCTTGCTTAAATGTGTCTTCACAACGATGATGTCGTAGAGTCCACCACTTCTCGCCCGTTACATACAGTTGGTACTATAGTAGAGGCTGAAGCTGTAGAAAAAGATAATTGCAATAAAGGAAATGATCAATGACCATTAGCTGAAGCTTTAGGAGTGAATGTGGTTACCTTGTGAGTAGGTGGAGCTCGGTGCGGTGACTGCCGTGGAGAATCGGTTTTCTTTGGACCTCAGAGTGGTCACATTCTTCTGCGGCTGGAAAAGGATAATGTGGATCTTGGGGGCGAAGAGGCAGCCGAGCACCACAGAGCCGCTCAGACTGACGGAGATGCACATGGTAGTGGTCTGCACCTGTACAGGGATCAACCGGATTTAACATGTTCAGATAAGTGCATCACTCAACCCACTCAACACTCAATGTCATAAACACCAGCCTTGGTCAGATTTCAGTGCAAAATTAAAAGGAAAACATATTTTGCATGAACAAACACGACTAAAAAATAGGCTTTATTTTCTTTAAGCAGAATATAATTTCCTAATTCTTGAATTAGAGGTTAAAATGGACCATTGTTGATTAAACTATGTTCTGTAATCATTACCTGGATAAGTTCTGTGTTGGTAGCTTTGTAAAGTCATGATATAAGATAATACCTTCGCACTTTGATATTTACCATGGTACCAAGTGATTATTAAAGTCCCCGTGAACCAGAAGTCGCAAACGATTTTTCTCCAGTGCTGTGACGTATTTCCAAGTGAAACGGAATATTGAACAGAGGGCAGGGTTTTACTCTAGCGCTCCTCCTCTCCATCTCTCGCTCATTGTAAACTAACGGTTTGAGGGGAGTGGTTAAGCGTTTCCCCACCCAAACTGTGAAACCTACGTCATCAGAAAAAGAAACCGTTCCAGACCGGAAGTAACTTTTCAGATTTTGATTAAAGATTACCAAGGTAAAACATTTTTTTAATATATTTTTACTTGCACGGATTAATTGTTCACCACAAGACTAGTAATATGCGCTAACAAAGTAAATAGGTTCAATTTTGATTTCACAGGGACTTTAAATGCATGTACCCTTCTATTTACATAGCTACTTCAAAGAATATAATGGAGAGACATGTCCAAAACCATGGTATTATCATTATATCATGTCCAAATAACATGCGGTAATACCAGATTAAAGGTGCTGTATGTAATATTTTTGGCTGAACTAACGCATACAAATAACATGTTTGCAGATATTTAGGAAACATGTTAAGTTCACATACTTGTTTCTCTAAAAAAAAACAATGCTAGATTCAGTTATTCACCTTTGAAATGTGAGTTACGGGTTGGGATGTCTGGCTGCATCTGAAATCGCATACTTCCCTACTATATAGTAGGTGAAAAAAAGTCTGAATTCACCGTATTCATAAAAGAGGAGGCGAGAAGTACAGTACCCGAACTAACTATAATGCTAACGAGATTTTAAAGCGTGCATATAATGGACCCTTTGCTATCCCATGAGGCCACGGGAGAGAGTTTATGAATGGCAGAGAAGTGAAGTAACTTGCAAACACAACATGGCGAATGTAGTACGTCTATATTACATTCATACTACACAAATTCATACTATATTATACTTTTTTAGCGGTCATGAAGTTATTACTTATTCAAAATAAGCACCTACTCTTCGCGATTTCGGATGCAGCCTCTGTTTTTGTTTTCATCTGTGAAATCCCACCCATTGCCAATTTACCCAATAGTATATCGGCACCCCGGGGATGCCAGTTGGTGGAAAACACCGCATAATGCAGCCATGGCAGCCAGTGAACTAACTGGGTCAGAGATTGCATATTGTACCCGATCTAAAAAGCTTCGGTATCTATCTGAAAAGCTCCAGACCAGGATAAATCAACTGATCAACTTAAGGCTTATCACCCTCATTCCTGTTGCGTGTCCTCAATCTGGCAACCGCATTTGCGTCGAGTCTGAGGAGAGGCGGAGGACACAACTCCCAATTATTTTTAATTTGTACAGCAGTACCCATTTTAACCTCTAGCTGTCAATTTAACATACTACACCTTTAATTTTTTATTTTTGGGTGAACTCTTTAATTATTTGTCTTAGTGTATGGCTTTACATATGTATGACCTGAACCATCTAATAAGGTCTTACTAGGCATACTAGAAATTCCAGGCAGGTGTGTTGAGTCAAGTTGGAGTTAAACTCTGTAGGACAGTGGTCCTCCAGTAGCAGGATTGGAAACCCCTGGTGTATGAGATACCTTTATAATCACTCTCGCTGTACTTTGATGTCATACACTATTGGTCTGTGCAGCCTACTTCAAGTTGAACACCTAAAGCAGGGTTGGGCAACTTCGGTCCTGGAGGGCCTCTGTCCTGAAGTTACAGACTTTAGCTTCAACCCTGAAAATCACCTGCCTGTAACTTTCTAGTAATTCTGAAGACCTTGATTAGCTTGTTAAGACATGTTTGATTAGGGTTGAAGCTAAACTCTGTAGGACAGTGGCCCTCCAGGACTGAAGTTGCCCATCCCTGACCTAAAGTCTTCAAGATTGCTTGAAAATCAAAGGCAGGTGTGTTGAAGCAGACATTGGGTCTCCAGGAGCAGGATTGACGACCTCTGGTGTATTCAGACTGAGAACCTCCCAAACCAAAAAATTAACCATTATAGTGGTGAAATAAATCTTTTCCCTGACACATAATCTTAAGGTATTGCCTCTTCTCTTTTTCCTCCAAAGGTTAACTGGCTGATACTACATAGCACTCCAGCACTGATAATGACAGCACCAAAATTAAATAATTGTCTGGTATGAAAACTGGTATAATTCTCAGTGGATACAGTGAGTTTGTGTTGTAAAACGATTTCCTGTTGCAATGCAGGGACTACCACTCTCAGCCAAGGGGGCATTCTTGATGACTGTGTCTACAATGAAACTAACAGAGCTCTGACATCTCTCACCCCACAGCGATGAGAGTCTCCTGATAACATGCGACAGGCAGCCCTCATCCCTCAGATAGTGCTACTATATCGACTAGACATTCACATCAATGTATGTTTGAGCTGGTGCACTGAGTTTGTCTGGTTATGAGAGCCAGAGGCCAGCTCTAAAAGTAATCTCCTGTTTGGTGTCTTGACTTGCAGAATACTTCAAGACTGAAGTGAGTTTTTAGCATATCTTTCGACTGCTTCTGTCTTCTGAAAAAAGGTAAATCTCAAGGATGTTTTGCCGTACGGTAATAGGGTATTCACTGCATAATCTAATAAACTCAAATCTATTATTACTTTTCATGTTTAGTTTTTGTTACATATCTGTTTGGGTCAATGTATGGAGGTTCCCGAAGTATCTCCTCTTCAGCATTAAGTATCAAAGACAATCTTGCATAGCCACTATCAGCATAAATTCTAGTCCATTTTACAGCTCCTTCTGGCTAGGAACTGTACACATTAACGGGATGTTAGTCTTTATATACCTTTAAGAAGCATGTCTATGTGAAATAAATCAGTGGTTCCTACCCTTAGTCATGGAGTATCTCCAACACAGCACATTGTCTCCCTAATGCAGGGTTCTTCAACTCTGCTTTTGGAGGTCAATTATCCTGTAGAGTTTCACTCCTACTGTAATCAAACATCTGAATCACCTTATCAAGCTCTCCGGGATTCATTTCCAGACGGGGTGTTGGGGCAATTTAGGACTAAGGAGCAGGACTAGACACCCCTACCATAATAAACACATGATTCAACTTATCAGTTCATAAATAGACACTCCAAAACCTGGGTGCATTATATAAGGGAGACATCCAAAAAGTGAGTACTCCAGAACCACGGTTGGGAACAACTGAAGTAGATGATATCACCACAATAGACTGGGACGTACCTTCAAACTTGTTTCTAACTATGCATCCTACTTACTCTGTAGTCACTGGCAGTGACGTAGAAGATGGGCTGGAAGGCCAGCCAGATGATGCAGGTGGTGTACATGGTGAAGCCGATGAACTTGGCTTCGTTGAAGTTCTCTGGACATTTCCTGGTCTTGAAGGCATAGAAGGTGCAGAGGATGATGAGGATGCAGTTGTAGGTGAGAGACACCAGCATGCTTGAGTCCAGGCTGTTGCATTTCAGAGTCACCACATCTCTTCGATCTGGACCCACCTCTTTCCTCACACCCGGTGCCTCTACCAGCAACCAGACAAGAGCGACCAACAGCTGGGCAGAGATCAGTATGGCACAGATTGCTACCTGAGAGGCAGGGCTGATGAAGCGTGGACGTTGGGCACTGTCTCTCGCCCCACCAAAGATGCGAGCGATCCTGTTGGTCTTCGTCAGCAAAGCCGAGTAGCAAACTGCAAAGGAGGAGCCGAGGCCAAGACGACGCAGGGTGCACACAAATGACGAAGGTTTGGCAATGTAAATGAAGGTCATGGCATAGCAAAGGAGTACACCAAATAGCAGGATGTATGAAAGTTCTCGACCGCTAGCTTTCACCACCGGAGTGTCATTGTTCCGTAAGAAAACCAAAGCCACCGCAAGCGTACACAGCATCCCCAGACAGGCAATGGTGACGGGTCCTACTGCCCATGCGTCCGACCAGTGGATGTACTCCTCCGGAAGCTCATAGCACCCCGTGAGGTTAGCAAGGGGCCATTCTCCAAATCCACAGTCCATACAGGTAAATTCATCTAGCAGGTATTGGTGGGGTTGGCATGGGATGCAAATCCAACAACACACGTCCCCAGGTTGCATGCTTTTAGCTTCATTGGGTTGGCATGGGTCACTGCACTGAGATGTAGGAATTGCTCCACCTGCCCAAGGCACCAGACTGGTATTGAGCACTAAGCTCTGTGCCCAGTAGCCTACCTTCCGGTAGAAAAACTTGTTTTCCTCTTTGTGGTAGTGGAAGATGTTGTAGCGACCCAGACAGTCACCTAATGAGGTGAACCGCACCACGTTCTCCGTGTCAGCAGGCCTAAAAGGGGCTGAAAAAGTTTAATAACATTACAGTACATTTATTTAAGTCTAAATCCTGAAACCATAGACTACATGCAACATTCAAATTTAATGTGCAATTCATCTCAATTCAGAAACTAATCTAGCTAATCTCTCAAATTTATTACTCAACATTTAAACTGAAAGATTGAATCTGTTGAAAGCACATCCGATAAATCAGTATATAGTCCATGGTCTGTCAAACTGATTATCCTGTCTGAGATTGCATTATCTTGGAGACCAATTGGGAGCTCTCTGATAATTTGATGCTCTCTGATAAAGGATGTGTGGCAAGTATGAAGTTTCGGTGCATCAAGACTTATTGGTTCGATCAAATTTTAGGTAGACAACTGAAGAGCTGCTTCATAGATTGGAAGGAAATGTTCTATTGCAAAAAAAAATAGGACTAAATGACTCACCATCAAACTTAGTCTTGAGGATAAACTCCCGGTAGAACCTCTTTCCATTGCCTGGCTTCATGGCGTCGCACACCTTTGTGGTGTTGGGGCACACAGCTTGCCGCATGTTGTGCAGGGCATAGGCCATGGCATAGACTGCATTCACTACAAACATGATCTTTGATTCTGGCTTAAACGACCCATTCCTCAGGCTATTACTGGCGCAGCCGTGTTCATGAAGACGACAGCCAAACCTATGCTCCCAGAATTCCCTAAACCACGGGTTCCGAGTGTTATATTCCGGTGTTAGCTTGGTGAAATAGTCTTCAAACTCCCTAATAGAGTATGAGGCAAGCTCAATGGTGAAAGCCCCATTGGCAGCCTTCTCGCTGCCATGAACTACGCTCTCCTGCGCTCCCCAGCCGTCGCTGGCCACCCAAATGAAGGTAGCGTTCATCCTGGCTGCGGCAGAGAGCAGTTCCCTTGCATCTTCACTTCTGGTGAAGAGAATCACCACTTTGGCATTGGCTTTTTGCTGAAGTGAACGAATAACATTTTCATAATTTCCTCTGTTTACTGAACGGCTGACTTTCACTGAAGTTGCAATGCAGATTTGGCGTACTCTGGCTTCTTGTTGAAACGCATCTATACCCGTCTCACCGTAGTCACCCTCTGAAGCTACAGTGGAAACGTAGGTCCAGTTGAAGTACCGTATGATATCAGCTATGGCTTTAGCCTGATAGAAGTCTGGTGGGACAGTTCGGGCAAAATAATCATAACGGGATTTGTCGCTGAGCTTGGCACTAGTGGAAGCGTAACTTATCTGAGGGATCTGGAAGAGTCTAAGAAGGTTTGCCACCTGCAAATGAATAAAAATAATTGATTATTAGGCGGTAATACTTTTTTATAATACCATTTTGCCACAATTTGCTGACACCTGAGAATTCCACAAGACGTAGCATATTTAGCTTAAGTTGCTGTTTTATTAAAGGAATTAGGCACATAATCTACATTATTTTAACATCCATTAATTATGCAACTTCTAATTATTTTAGAAAAGTTAATCTTTTTTCAATTTCTGTTTCCTGCCAGCTTTCTGTGGGTGGCAGTAGCACAATTGTAATTGCCTCAGACAAATAGCGCTGGGTTTCCTGAATATGGGGTAATCTATAATGAGCCTAATTTACATAGAATGCGTTTTTGCTCTGAAAAGAATGAAAGTCGACTGTTTAAAATTAATGTTAATATGGTGCAATGCTATTTCAGTGAATTTATCAGGTTATGAGGGACTGTGGGCAGTTATGGAGTAAGATGCAGGTTTTTCCACTAAAAAACATTAATGTCACTGAAAATGTTTGTTTTTGCTGTTCAGTATCTACCGTAAATTAAAAACCCCAGTTTCCCAATGAGTCAGTGACCCACAGATGCTCTTAGCAAACTTGGTAAGCGCATGATATCCCATTACATTCTTTTAAATGTGGAAGGGGAAAAAAAGATACAGCTTTTACCTCTTCCCTGTTTTCCCTGTATCCCCCTCATCTGAGCCTCATCATTTCAGACCATAGTTTCATGGGACTCATACAGATCTAATTCTGATCACATAAGATAACTGTGCAAGCGGATAAAATGATAATTTTAGATATGGTGTAAGTTTTCCTCAGGGCATGACACCTTTAAAATCTGATTTGAGAGATATTTTTCATTTACACTAAGAGTGTTGACAGAGGAAAGAGAAAATGGGCTATTTTAGTTACTTGAGAATATTGAAAAAAATTAGTTGAATATAACTTTAATTCTGTTATATTGTTAATGAACTAGCTATTATCACAAGAGGACGACAGGACATACAAGCATGGTTTAATGCCAATAATGATTTAAAAAATCACTCAAAATCTTACAAAATGATTGGGTTGTAGCTGTTGGGTTCAGCTCTCAGCTGACACACATTAGAGCTGATGGGTGGTGAACTTACATGTCAGTTTCTGACAAGCACACTTACATAGCTCAGTTTATTCAAGCCTGAGGGAGAGCAGATAGTCTGCAAAGAGGTGAAATTGAGAAAATCGGATTCATTTAGACAAGTGCAATCCTCCACAGAGGAAGAACACTATAGTTTGGCATCTCACCTCTGCTAAGTTTGACAATTGTCAGCCTAAATCGTAATCAAAAGTAAGAAAATCAGTGAGAAGTGCATTAAAATACTTAAATTATATATTTTTTATTTTTTATTAATTAAACCTTTATTTAACCAGGGATATAGTCACATTGAGATAAGTATCTCATTTACAAGTGAGCCCTGGCCAAAATAGCAGCACACGATATACATACATACATAAAACATAATACACAACACGAACATGTACAAAAAATAATACAAAATTAAATGTTAAGAGCAAGTGCAGACAGATTTGAATGATTTGTTTAAGTGTAGCTTGAACTCACTTATCGAAATAAGTTCTTCTAGTTTCAGTGAACTTTGGATCTCATTCCAAACAGTTGATGCACTATAAGTAAAAGCAGTTTTTCCAAATTCTGTCTTCATTAAAGGAACATTTAAAAGAATATATCTACTTGAACGTAGATTATACCTTTGACTATTAAAAGTTAGTAAACTACTCAAATATTGGGGAAGCTGGCCGACTAATGCCTTATATACAAGTATGAGCCAGTGTTTGTGCCTTCTTATATGAAGTGGAGGCCAACCTACCATCTCATACAACGCACAATGATGAGTGTGATATTTTGAGTTAGTTATAAATCTTAGTGCAGAGTGATAAACAGAATCTACTGATTTTAGGAGAGCTTTAGTGGAATTTCTGTAAAAAACATCTCCATAATCTAGGATAGGTAAGAAGGTAGATTCCACCAACTTTTTCTTAGCCGACTGTGAGAAACATGCACTATTTCGAAAATAAAACCCCAGCTGTAACCTTAACTTAGACAACAGTTGTTTAACATGTAACTTGAATGATAAGTCCTCTTCCAACACAAACCCCAGATATTTATAAGAGGAAACCAGTTCTATAGAGTTACCCTGCAAAGTATAAATAGGTGGTGGAGGAGAATCAGTCTTTTGTTTCCTAGAAAAGACCATGTATTTTGTTTTCTTATCATTTAGGACTAATTTTAAAGAAAATAGTTTACGCTGAACTAGTTCAAATGCTTCCTGCAGCTTTAAAATGCAATTTTCAATAGAAGATGCAAAGCAGTAGATAATGGTATCATCGGCATATAAATGGATACTTGCATCTGATAGATTATCACCAAGATTGTTAATATATAATGTAAACAACAGGGGACCCAATATGGACCCCTGTGGCACACCAGATTCGATGGTCAGCTTGTCAGAAAGAGACCCCTTAATTTGCACTCTTTGACTCCTATTCTTCAAATAGTTCCCGATCCAACCCAATGCGGCTCCAGAAAGGCCAATACAATGTAAACGCAACAAAAGAATATCATGATTGACCACATCGAAAGCTTTTGTCAAATCAATAAACATTGCAGCACATGATCTTCCAGTATCTAGGGCGCAAGTAATGTCATTTAAGACTTTCATAGTAGCAGTTACTGTACTATGATTTTTTCTAAAACCGGACTGAAACCTAGATAGAATACTATTTATATTTAAAAATTCCTTTAGCTGTTCGGTGACAATAGATTCAAAAATTTTAGCCACAGCTGATAGCTTCGAAATCGGTCTGTAATTATTTAGAATGGTTGGGTCACCGCCTTTCAGCAGGGGTACAACCAAAGCAGATTTCCAAATATCAGGAACAATATTTTGTTCTAACGATAAATTAAAAATATAGGCTAATGGGCCAGCAATGATCTCGGCAGCCAGTTTCAAAAAATATGGCTCAATTTCATCAGGCCCTGCAGACTTCTTGATGTCTAGATTTTTTAAACCTTTTAAGACCTCACTTCTACAAATTGGAGAAAAATTAAAAGTCAGACTATCTGCTCTCCGAGGAGATGGATTTGGTATAACACTTACAGTAGTTTCTTTAAAAATAGAACTTGAAGAAATAAAATGCTTGTTAAAAATATTTACCATAACCATTTTATTATTAATGAGCATATCGTCTGCTAAAATTTGGTCTGGAAAATCATTAGATAATGTGGAGGGACACAGTGATCTGATGGTTTTCCAAAATTTTATGGGATTATTCAGATTTTGTGAGGTTTCTTTTAAATAATATTCAGATTTAGATCTGCGTACAAGAGCTGTGCATTTATTTCTCAATACTCTAAATGCTACCCAATCTCTTTCTGTATCTGAATTCCTCGCAGTGGCCCAAGCCAAATTTCTTTCATGGAGGAGTTCAGATAGTTCATTTGAGAACCATGGATTATCGCGGCCTTTTACTCTGAAAGTCCTAACAGGGGCATGTCTATTCACAATCTTCAAGAACAAAGTGTGAAAATACTGCCATGCAATGGACACATCTGGTATTAAATACAATCTGTCCCAATCAGATGCAAACAACTCGTGTAAAAACCCCTGAATATCAAACAATTTAAAATTTCTTTTAGTAATAGTTCTAGGTTTTACTTTGGGAATTTTACAATTTCTTATAACCGCTATAGTGCAATGATCACTGACATCATCAGGAAAAACTCCTGTATAGGTGTATTTATGGGGTTTATTTGTTAGTATGAGATCTATTAAAGTGGACTTGCTTGGGTTCTTAAGATTCAGCCGTGTTGGTGACTCAATGAGTTGAGTGAAGTTCACAGAATCACAATATGCTTTGAACTGGTCTGAATTTGAGGTCAGCCAATTCCAATTCAAGTCACCCAATAATACAAGATCTTTAGACAGTATGTCGTTTAAGACAGCTAACAGTGAGGTGAGAGCATCACTGATGGCTGCTGGTGGTCTGTAACAACCTACTATACATAGATGACAGTCCTTTCCATATTCCAGATCAATGGCCAGTAATTCAAACTGTTTAGGGAAAGAGACTGATTTAAGAACAGTTACATGATAGTTCGATTTGATGTACATTGCAACTCCACCCCCTTTACTTTTCCGATCAGCTCGAAACACATTATACCCTTCTAGTGCAATATCATGGCTTGAGATGGATTTTTTAAGCCACGTCTCAGAGATAACCAAGACATCTGCTTTAGTCATTTTTGCCCATATATGTAATTGATCTAGTTTTGGCAGCAGACTGCGAACATTTAGATGTACCATTTTAAGGCCTGATCTATTAGAAAAATCTAGAGGAGTTGAAACTACTCCCGCCGGACCAGGATTTGGATTTATACCGGCCAGCAAAAGCAGCATCATTATCAAATATCGCTGCCTTACATTTCTAGATGTAGTAGTACATTGCCCGTTTCGAGATTCCGATACAGAGATCTTAGGGATGAAAGTAAAGAGGGGTAAATTCATTGTCCTTGAATCCATTTGAGCGGAATTAATAAGAGCCCGAAATATAAAAATAATGTCCGTACATTTGGATGGAAGAAACATGAGACGCGACAAATACATCGCTTTTTCTTCCGTTTTTGTTGGTGTGTCCCATAGTCCAAGCATGAAGATTACCATGCAAAAAAGCAACACCTTCATATTACCAGCGTTTGAAGTCAGAATCGTTCAGACTGAATCCGAGACCAAATTAAGTTCGTTCGAACAGCTCCACGACCCCGACAAATGGGCAAAGAGCAGCACGATATTGTGGAAGATGAATCTTATTTACGGACAATCAGCAGCTGGAGAGTTTAAATTAAGCAAGAAACATCACCGACCTTGACTGCTACAATCCCCACCGCTAAATGATCTCTGAATCCGGGGGTTCTTCAAGTAGTTGCCGTTCCTTTCCGTGCTGTTTTCTAACGCCGATGCTTTCCAACGCAACAACGTGGTGATGAGATATCAAGCCGGAAAAATGCAACAGATACGCTTAACCCAGCGCAACAGCCAAACTGTCCGATTTGCCGCAGTTTGACGCAAACGCTTCCCAAAGCGAAAGCGAAAGCGGGGTGGATGACGACCCAGGGTAGAGCAACGACCAACAGGTAAGCCAACAGGTAAGCACGCACCCAGCACAAAGCAGATTGTAGAATAGCTCAAAATCCGTTTCGAGAAATCTGACTTAATCCAGACTCAATTCAATAATGAGACCGAATTTTAAATGCTTTCTTGGAATAAAAATAAAAAATCTCAACATCTAAACAGAACAAAAGAAGACTGTAGCTCAGCAGATCAGACAAGACAAACACAGTGCTGCCATCTTGGATTATGGCTTATACAATATACATTGAATTAGCCCTGTTTTTTTTTCCCTGGCATTTAAATAATCTTTTTTTTGGCAAAATGCGCTAATTCAATGTAAGTATAAAACATTAATACACCCACCCATTAGAAAAGTAGAATTAAAATCAGGATTTAAATGAACTGTGTTGTTGGTTGTGTGAGCTGTCGGGAAATCAAATGCGGTCGTCAACAGCTCTTAAGCGTCACTGGCCACTGCTTCTCAGCTTTAGAAGCTCCAGCATGTTGATATTCCAGTTGCGTATCAACAACACATTCATTTTTTTTCTTCAGAAAACAGAAACGGCCAGAATGCCGCTGGTGCATTTGACAGGGACCACCTGAGCTGACTCTAGTGTGAGTGTGTTGCCCTACCCAGACAGCGGAACATGGAGTTCGCAGCATTTCCCAATCTAAGAGGAGGTGTTGTGCTGCAAATCATAATAGCATAAAGCTAAGTTCCAGAGGCTCTAAAAAGCAGCAATACGTGACATTGTCATTGCCACTGAAAGTGCACTTGCGTAAGTGCACCTGAAAGTGCGATTTCAGTCAGACTAAAACAAAAATTGTCATTGAAGGAAGGATCCCAAGACATATCTAGACGAGGCCAGTGTATCATATACGCTGTAAAAAATATTGTTGGTTTAACTTAAAAAATGAACCTGGTTGCCTTAAAATTTTAAGTTGATTGAAGTGGAAAAAGTGAGTTAATACAATGAAGGAGATTGATTTAATCATCAGAAAATCAAAATAATAAGTTATCCGAACTAAATAAATTATTTAAGTTGATTTGACAAAAGAAAAAAAATGTTGTGATAACAAATCCTGATTTTTTTTTTTCAGTGAAAGATGAGCTTCTTTCTGATAGAGCCAGTAAACAACATCAGAGCATGACCCAGAACAACCCAGCAACCATCTATAACACTGGGACTGGTTTCAACCAGGTAAGATGACCTAAAATGAAAAAAAAAAAAGCTTGCACCCTCAGCAACTATCTATTTTAAGATAAAGGGTAGAGTCATTAAAAACCTGGATATATAAAGGAATTTCTAGACCTGGAAAGATCAAGAAGAGGGGGATTAAAAAAAAAGCTGAGAGCCACTGACCTAGCAACAAATTAGCAACCACCCTGAACACCCTAGTAATAGCCTGGCAACAAAACACCTTAGTAATTGCATAGCAACCCCCTGGCAAAAAACAAAAAAATGTAAAAGTACACAGCATTGTGGTTGCAAGTTTTCCAGAGGCAAATAACTCTCACAATTTCATCAGACAATTCAATCCATAATTTAGTTGTTCCTGACAAACAGATGATAATCCAATCTTTGTGCAATTCTCATCTTATTTAAAAACGTTTTTCAAAGGCTGCTAAAAAAACAAAGGTTCATCTGTTCTAGCAGTTAGAGAGGGTTGTGAAAGAATGAATAAGTGTCTGACCCTGTCCTGAATGTGAGCTGCACACTCAAATGAAAGGCTAAACAGGGTCAAGTGATGCTCTGTGACAGCAAAACCCCTTTTCAAGCGTTCCCAGTCTCCTAACATAACAACACCATCTGTTTTTTCCCAGGATACTTCTTCACCAAGTGCTACAGAGCCAAGCGGTGTCTTAAGAGCTAGAGAATCGCAAATGACTAAACATGACAAACAAATAAACAAGGTATGTGGTTTGAAATGTTTGAGTGCTAATTATAATTTAGTTCTAATTACGTGGGAAATGCAAATGACTTGGCATTTATATGGCATTAATTATGAGTGTTATTTGTCTGTTGTTTTGGCATCCCAAGAACACCACATGCAGTTATAACCTATTAACATTTTCAGTGTCTCAGACCACAGTGGAGATCTCCATATGAGTGACCTTGAGACACACACACCCACTCCGTTATTACATACGAAACACTAACGAACAGTGACTCCTGGCAAACAACTTAAGAGGCTTGCATGCATGAAATAGTCAGACAATACTTGATCTTAATTCCACACAGCACCTGAGGCTATTTTTTTATGCACGTCATTATTATTTATAATTGTGTGCTAACACACACACACATTTTGTGCTAGAGAAACATGATAATATATTCCGTCACCTTGTGCCGTGCGGGAGAGAAAATGTGCTGGCGATGAAAGGAGCATGGTGGCTATTGATTGGTTGGCATTATCAAATGCATTTCTCTATCACTCTCCAAATGTCTCGCATATACAAAATCTCAACAAACAGTTTTCTGCCTTTTTAATGAATGCAATCTGACATGAAAACATTTGATTCAGATTTACAATAGTAAGTTAAAGGCATAGTTCACTTTGAAATTTAGCTTACCTCAAGGGCATCCAAGATGTAGGTGTCTTTGTTCAGATCAGTTGGACGTGGCTGTGGTTACAAGAGGTAAAACGATATAAATACTGTTCGTTTTCTCACACAAACTGCTCGTTTCGTGTCTTAGGCCATCAATGTCCACTCACTTACATTTATGAGTCATTAAATCATGTTTAATTTGGACTTCTCTGTGCATGCTCTTTGAGGTGGTGACCATAGACCTGCATTATATGACTGACAGACAAGAATGGTTTGACCGAAAAATATCAAAATTGAAAATACTGTGGAAACAAAGACACCTACATCTTCGATGCCCTTGAGGTAAGCTAAAACATATCAAAAATTAATTTCAAAGTGAACTATCCCTTTAACAAGTAAAACAGATTTTCTACACGCTTATGAGTGTTTTTAACCTGATTTTCTTACTACCATTTATTAACAATGGGGACCGGATCTTTCCGGCTTCAAAAAAGGATGCAAAAGCACCATAAACATGGCCCATATGACTCAAGTTATTCTAAAGTCAAATGCCAACAACAATCATTCCATCTATAGTTCATTTCATTAGCTACAATTAATCAATGATACCAACAGGCACTTGTAGACTCGTTTGCAGGCTGGTGTGGCTTCACCATCGTTGCATTTAAAGGGATAGTTCACCCAAAAATGAAAATTCTGTTAGTAATTACTCACCCTCATGTTGATCCAACCCCATAAGACCTTTGTTCGTCTTCGGAATACAAGGTATTTTTGATTAAATCTGAGAGCTGGATCACTCCTACATAGGCTTCTTAAGGGATTGAAACTTGCTGGCCAGGAAAAGTTATTAAAGACATTGTTAAAACAGTCCAAGTGACAACAGTGGCTCAATCTTAAGTTTATCAAGCGACGAGAATAGTTTTTGAGCGCAAAAATAAACATAAATAACAACTTTATTTCAACTATTCATGTCCTTCTCTGTGGGCCTCTAGTCAGTTAACGTAGTGTGATAGCGTAGAGCTACATCACAATAAAGTCATTATTTCTGTTTTGTTTTTGCACACAAAAAGTATTCTCGTCACTTGATCAACTTAGGTTTGAGCCACTGTTGTCACTTGGACTATTTTAACGATGTCTTTAATAACTTTTCAGGGAACAAGTTTCAATCCCTTAAGAAGCCTATGGAGGAGTGATCCAGCTCTCAGATTTCATCAAAAATATCTTCATTTGTGTTCCGAAGATGAACAAAGGTCTTACGGGATTGGAACAACATGAGGGTGAGTAAAAACTGACAGAATTTTCATTTTTGGGTGAACTATCCCTTTAAGTACCGTCTCACTCCTGCAACTCCAAAGACTGAGCTCTTGGTAGATGCTACTATAAATATCCAAAGTATTTGGTGTTTTCTTCGCAACTGAACGTCTGTGTATCTTATGTGTTTGTATATATGTTGATTTGAGGTGTAAATTGAATACACAAGTCTCTGGTCCCTTAATTCTTAATGCAGCATCAAAAGTGTTTTAAAAGCAGGTGTTACAAACTCATTAAAGCATGCGTGGGAGTTTTCATTGCATTTACACTATTTTGACCAGCAGATGCCAATTGTTTCAGAGTTTTAGAAAAGATTTTGTTTCTCGCATCACTACAAATCATATGACGTGATGGAATATAGCACATAAGGCATATGGACTACTTTCATGACGCATTTATGGTGCCTTTGCGCCATTTCGGAATTTATTTTGCTTTGGAGTTCAAATTAATTTGAAATGGCATGAAGGTGATGAAATTTTTTTATGTGTTTCTTTTAATATCTAAATAATGAAAGAAAATACAAGCCACATTTTCCATAATTGCTTGTAATGATTTGCATTATGAATATGAATTTAACCATGAGATAATTAAGCTATCAAGAATGATGTGCGTTGTGAGTTGTTAAACCATGACGATTTTGTTTATTCCCTCTCTAGGGACCTGTCACTCACGAAATTAGCGGGATAGTCTGCCAATCTCATCGCCACCACCCACTCCAGCACTCGATATAGCTCTGCCTGCCGCCACCATTACCTACACACACACACATAAAGCTTTGTACCATCAACCGATGAATGGTCAGCCCTGATTCCCTCTCACAATCCAGATGGCAATGGGTGAAAAACAGGTGTGAGAAAACCAGCGAGGACATGTGCTACCCTGTGTGTTATCTCCTTTATATTCATGTTCAGTCGTGTCATGCTTCTTTGGGTTCCCTGCCAAGAGCGTCTCTCATTTACCACTGGGCTGAGCGAGCTCCAGCCAGCCTGAAGACCCCTCGAAGCTCTTTCACCCCAGTGCTGGACAGGTGGCACGGGCTTCGGCAGGCTTGTCATGTCAGCACAGTTGGAAGAGCTCCTCTGAGACCTTCAATTGCTGTCGCTGGCTGTGACATCCTTCCCACAAGAGTGAAAAACTGAAATGTTTGTGTATTTCTCTGCACAATATATTATGTACGTAAATGCATCAGTGTCTTGGTATGTTATAAAGCGTGGTTAAGATATTTTGTTATATATTTGTTGACTGACAAATTTGTGTTAATATTGACATGGATTTTTTTTTATCTGTATTTTTTTTATCTGGATTTTTTATTTATGGTTTCTCTGGAAAAAAAAAGTTCATTTATCTTAATTTTTAAAAAAAAATTTATTAGATTTATTTTTATTTCAGTATTTCAATAAATTCTACAGAAGCCCTGCACCACAATGTAAAAAGAAAAATATCTAAAATTACGAGAATAAAGTTGAAATATTTCAAAATTAAAGTCGTAAAATTTTGAGAATAAAGTCAAAATTACGAGAATACATTCTTCCGTAATGCGTTCGTGAAGTCAAACTGCCTCAGACATGAATCTATTAGGGTTTTCAACAAAAATAAATTCTATGACGTGATGAGCGTCATAGAAATGAACAAATCTTTTTCCGAGTCGATTCGTTAGTTTTGTTCGTTGAATGAACCAAATGACCCGGAAAAAGATTCGTTCATTTTGATGAACGAGTTCGAACAGGAGAGTCACGAACGCTCATCACAGAACAGAGCAAGGAGAACATTTGAGCTTATAAAACCTAAACTTTGTTATTTATGTTTGAAATGACCAATCGTTTCGCTTGATAAGACCCTTAATCATCGTCTGGAATCGTTTAAAGGCCTTTGAACAGTTTGCAGTTTGCACTGAAACTGTCTTTTGGACCTTGAACCGTTTGGTTCCCATTGAAGTCCAGGAGAAAAATCCTGGAATGTTTTCATCAAAAACCTTAATTTCTTTTCGACTGAAGAAAGAATGACATGGACATCTTGGATGACATGGGGGTGAGTAAATTATCAGCAAAAGTGAACTACTCCTTTAAAGACAATTTTAAAAAATTTCAGTTTTAGTTAACAATAACAATACTTACTGGAATGATGTTTTACAGGTGCACTTCACTGCTGGCAAAATGGGCTTTCAATAAAACTTGGCTGTCTAAAAAGGTAGGAAAACTTCAACACCCATAATGCACTGGGCATGTTGCTGTCCAAGGCCGATCCAACTAGTCTGCTAGTGCTATGGATACGCTTACCATCAGATACAGTTTTGGTTTAGAAGGATGTACTTCTTAGCAAACTTTTAGTCCTAATGATGTAGACTTGTATTGTTCTCGGGTGCAAGAATTCAAAGAGTAAAAGTACAGCGGAAGTGAGTTACTTTAGGTTTCCAGTGAAGGATCCAGCACGTTGTAGACAGCGGTTAAAGGCTGCAAGAATCATAAATACAGAGAGAACGGCGTGACAAAAAATCTGAAAAACATCTGTGTTTGTAGTCAACATTTCAAACTGGATGAACATGAACAATGTCTCAAAAGAAACTGCTGTTCTGTGTCCGTGGGAGGGGATACAAAAATGCAGAAGTATAATCTGTAGTTTCACGAAAGCCTTGAATTTTGCTGACAAATAAATGTGAAATTTTTAGTCCAGGTAATACGGAGAACGAGTAAACATTGTTAATTTACTTGTACTATCGGCAACGTAACATTTAAGTTCTGAACATTCAGTATGTTCTCATATTATGTTGAACTATTTTACCTATAACTCTTTTATCAGGTCAAATTGAATTTCTCATTAAATGACCCCCAACATTTGGCATCCATCTTACTAGTGCTGAAGTTGAGCTTAGATCAGGACCATCTGTCTCCAATGTGTGTGTTGGCAAATTCCAGCACAGCTGAATAAAAATTAAGCCACGATTCCAACCATATATAACGAGCGTAGGGCAATTAGCACTCAGTTGTCTCATGCTAATCACAGCCTAAAGGCAGAGAACCGTAATTAACTGTAGATTCACAGTCTCTGGGCGCTTCGCTCAGGAGGAGGTCAGTCTGTACAAAGGAAGACAGAGATATGGGCGGATGTATATGTTCCTTGGGTTTGATGGGGAGGAGTTGAGTGTAATGTAACAAACAGACGTGGTCAGAAGTACTTGGTATGTTATGCTTACTGCTAAGGCAACACTTTCTGATCGTATTTCATAACCCTATCTATGTGTGAGAATGCAAATGAACATTTGGAAAGTTGAGAAACTATATTAAAGATACTCTGAGATTATTCGGACAACAAACTGAACAAAATGTTTTTGCAGGGGCGTAGCAACCACTTTTCAAAGTTCAATGAACTCAAATTATTTTGAAAGAGTCATGCCACTGTGCAAAAAGAAAATTGCAGCCGGTTGCATAATACAAGACTTTAAGACCAATCAGAAGCCTTTGTTTACTTTGGTAATGGATCGAACACATGCACAATAAGTAATCTGCCATTGCTATATGTCTACTTGCCTTCTACTGAGGAATTGTTATATCATCTAATTAATATTCATGAGCCAAGCAATTTAAATAATATCATCACAATAAGTGCTTAATTGTCGTGAACCTACAATGGTCCTAAAAACAGGTTTCAGTTCCTTTTGCTAAATATAATTTATTTTTTGAGTTTTTAGAGTGAAATTTGACTGGAACTGTTCTTGATAACATTTTCTATTATTTGAAAAAATAAACATTACCTGAAATAAAATAAAATAAAATATAATAAACATTTGTTTTTTTTATGCTACTTGGCAACATTTCTTATATTCATTTAGTTTAAGTTGAAGTACTAAAATAACTAAATAACCTAAAAAATTAAAATGAAAAACTTTAAAGCTTAATAAATGTATACAGACATTTTTTTTTTAAATTAGATAACATTAATTTATTTATTAACTAACATGAACTAACAATAAGAAATACATTTGTTACGTTTATTAATCTTTGTTAATGTTAGTCAATAAAAATCCAGCTGTTCATTGTTTGTTCATGTTCACAGTGCATCACTGTAAAAAACATTTTCAAGATTTGTTATCACAACATTTTTTCTTTTGTCAAATCAACTTAAATAATTTATTTAGTTCAGATAACTTATTATTTTGAGTTTCTGATGATTAAATCAATCTCCTTCATTGTATTAACTCAATTTTTCCATTTCAATCAACTTAAAATTTTAAGGCAACCAGGTTACTTAATTTTTTAAGTTAAACCAACAATATTTTTTTACAGTGTAATGTCAACCAATACAACCTTTGATTTTAATAATTTATTAGTAAATGTTGTACGTTAACTAATATTAACTAATGAACCTTAATGTAAAGTGTTACCCATTTATTCAATTTGTTATGTTTCTCTTCCAGGTCAAAAAGGACTCAAATGCATTATGAAGGTGGTCAAGTTTTTTTTTTTTTTTTGGTAGTCCAAGGTGGCCTGTCAGGTTTATTGATCAAGAGTCAAAACCTACTGACTGATCTTATCGTCTATATTTCTTTTTTAAGAAAGATGTTCCAAAGGAGGTTGCATAGCGTTTAGATTGATGTACGTTCGACCTTACCTGTATAGAAACATCACTATAGGATCCTCCAATCACTCCAGAAATGGCCAGAGGCAATTCATCCGGCACAGGATTCGACCCATCGGGACAGATGAAGCCTGGCTGATGCACTTTAGTGAGAGAAGCCCTCACGAACTCCAGCGACTGCTCTAGGGCATATGTGTCTTTAGAGCAGGTGTCCAGTATATGGGCTCCCAGCTTCACGCCGGGTAGGATTCGGTTGTCCTGGTTAATTTCGTCCAGCGCCAGCAACATGGCCTCCAGCCTCTGGATCCCGCGCTCTTCGTTTATCTTACCGCAATCCTCCATCCCTTCGCCCTTCTCGTGCACAGGGAACAGCCCTCCGATCACCAGGTCTCCATCTATGATGATCTCCCGCTTTGATCCGGCCAGGGGTGGGGTGTACCTGGGGCTGGTTTGGGCCAGAGGAATCAACAGGAACAGGAAGATGTGAGTAACCCGAGCCATGTCAGGGTTTGTGAGAGGTGAAGAACCCTTGCAACTACCCTGCGTGGTTTACTCGGCTGAAATATTTACTAAGTCTGTCGCTGATTGTAGACGCATCTCGATATCTTCTCAGCACCTGAAAAATAGATATGAATATCATTGACTTTCCAACTTGCAAAATAAACAAACATTGTTTTTACATGATTAACACATCTGATAACAGAAGCATATAATGCACAGTGTCACATATTACATAAGAAATTTAATTTTCATATGGTTTTGTGGTTGCAAAGAGGAGGCGGGCATTTCTAGATGGTTATTCATCCTGATTGAACTCAACGTTTCAGAGGTGACGCTCTGTTTTCCAGCTTCATTAATTCAGACACATCAATAACTCCCGGTGACTACGTAATTTTCTCAGGGTGTCAAAGGTGATGGATATCATCTTTTAGGTTATGAAAAATTACAACCTGAGGGAAGAGGATGAAAAGATGAAACAATAAATAATTTCAGCTGTTAGGAAAGTCTTTCCCAACTATATATCACACGGACTTAAAGAACTTTCATCTCTATTCAGAGATGCCAGGTCATCTCCATTACGCGTCGACTACACAGTTGCAAAGGTTGTGTTTTTCTTACATTACACATTTTCCAGAAGCCTTTTCTACACGGCTTTGAGCTAGTTTTCCTGTTTTGTTTGTTTTATTGATGTTTGCCATTATACTGTTTCATTGAACTTATTTTAATCCACAAAAATAGAAGAGAGATGTATATAAAATGATCGTTTATCTCGTATATGTGCTAAGAAAGGGTGCTAAAATTCAACACTTGCTTAACAAGTTTGCTTGTCTCAAATGTTTCCTCAACACCCAAATTTCTTACGAAATACAAAACCCACCATCACGATCCAGTTCTTTGTGTTGCTCACTAGTCCTGGGGCCTCCTTCATAAAACGTGCGTACAGACAGATTTGATTTTAGAGTGCGCGTATATGCTAACATCCTATGTTTGTATTTATAACATCTTCGATGTGGAAAGTGCTTAGCACCATGCCAGGGTCCAGTGGCGTAACTTTGCTTTAAAAAGTGTGGCGGGCTAATACATAAATGCTAAATCATAAATCGTAGAGTCAACGAGCACTTTGATCACTTGATTTAAAAAAACAACACATTTCAGCGTGCTAGATCGCCTCTTATTTAACAAATGGACAAAATGAATGCTCTGCTAGTTAACTAGAGACGTTTTAATTATTTATTTAAGTTACATCCTTGCCGCAATATGTTTCAAAAGTGGTGGGGACGATATCGACCCTGGCAAAAAGTGGTGTGGACACCCGCCCCACCCGCAAATTACGCCTATGCCAGGGTCTAAGCAGACGTACTCACTTTTCCCTGTGGCCGAGTGCCGGAGTAATGCAGGTTTTTGGAAATCTAAGCCATTCTTGTCGCTCGCCATTCTTGGGTAGAGGATTTGAACGTTGACTTTAAGACTGGAAAACTGGTTAAAGAGAAAATATCTGACCAGTGGCCTCTAAAGACAATGGCATTGCTTGCAAAATTAACATTTGACCCCCCCTACCCCCTTCCTCTGAGCATCTTATCTACAGTACATCTCTCTTTCTCTCTCTCTCTCAGTCAGTAACACTGACAGCTCACATGTGTTTTAATGTGAATGTGATAATCTTTAAGGATTGTTTAGTATAATTTTAAAGGTCTCAGAGCGACGCTGACTGGTGCTCTGTTATATCGTATGTTAATGACATTAATTAGGTGGCATTTACAAGGCAGAGATCTGAAACCACACAGCTGTGCACAATTTCAAGATCATTTGCAATTTATAGATTTCACATCTGGAAGTTCATTCTCTGAATCACATGTACGTACATTTGAGAAATGACGTAAGATCAAATGTATGGTTTCTATGCAACATTTTAAAAATGAGGCCAGAGGTCTTGATATGACTCAGGTGTATCATTCCATATATATCTATGGGATTTTTTTTTAAAATTGTATACTTTATATTTTTAAAAAACTGCTTTGAAGAGTAACAGCAAGCACACCTCTCTTCAACAAGTGACAAAATTTGAGGTGTCATTTCTGGCTGTAGCACAAATGGTTCAGGATCAGTTACGGGCCAAATTTTAATTGTTAAGGTTAATGGTTTTGAAAAATTATGAGCAAAAGTAATGCTGATGCTTGTCTTAGTCAGCATCTAATTATAAAGTCTAACATATGTTTCTCTGAAAAGGTTTTTCTTGTCTTTTTTCCAATTTCTATGATTGTGATTTTTGTAAACGAGTCGTTTACCCTCTTCTATTGGAAGATATAAAGTATCGGTTGCATTGCAAATCCGTTATAAACAATTCAGTATGTAAACTGGACACTGCACCATTTTATTGTCTTCTGTATGCTGATGAATATGGTTATTTAAATGTGGGGGAGATGTTCCTCTGAACCTCTGGACACAGGGCAGCTTCACCTCTTAACTTTTCAAGAACACCAAATGAGATTTAATTTACGATAAATCATGTATATTCATGGTGTTTCCCCTCCCTGCTGGCGTAATGAGGCAACATCTTGTTTATTAGGGTTCTGTTCCTTTACTTCTGTTACCATGGAAACAAGAAAAAGTGGGTGGGTTGGGGTGGCAAGGCGGTGTGATAAGGATATATATATATTCTAATTAATATGAGATCTGTTATCTTAGGTGCATTACATTGAGAGATTATAGCAAGTCAATAAAGTTAATTATTTGTAACGTCGGGCCATATTGTTGCACTGATCAGGTTAAAATAGGACTTGAATTGCTTTTAAAATTAAAAAGTGATTTTTTTTTTTTTTTTACAAATGCATTTTAAACAAATGGTCAATGAAAAGAGATGCTTAACCTTCAAAACATTTTGTCAAGCTAACTATTATATACTACTAACTATTATATAGCTTTTTATTTTCTATTCATTTTCAGTGAGGTCCATTGCTTATCCAGTTTTAAACTCTGATTTGTGTGATTTTGTTCATTTCTATGAAGACAAAAATAAATAAATATATATGCAAGCATAAGATGCCAGAATCATAACAAGGCTACACATTTAGCCTTCATTAAGCTGTGATTCAGTAGGCGCTGGCTATAATTATTTTTTATATAGCCTATGCCATGAATATATTTGGTGACAGGGTTAACTGATGGCATTGTAAACTTTATTGAAAAGTCATTCGTTACAATTAGCTAAATTTTAGGTGTGTTTCTTTAACTATAAAAATAATACTGCCATTTCTCAGTCCTCAGACAAAAGATGAACATAGCTATAGGTCAAGGGTTTCTAAATTTCACCAACAGCAACAGGAGCAGTTGACCAAAACTACATTAAAAAAAAAACAAACATTAAAAACGAATCATGGTTTTCTCCTCTTCTCTGGAACAGAGGGAAGCAACAGGCACCCTCGATTCACAAGAGAAAAGAGTCAAGGTAATGGACCAGTCCATGGTAATAAACTGAGGTCTGGACATTAGTGCATACTAAAACAACACTTGAATATTGAACATTCACAAATATCAAAGTATATTTTAGATTTTAATGTCAACAGCAGCTTTGACACTTAGGGGAAGATTGTTCACTGAAGAGTTATTGAGAGGAGGATCATTACTGTGCTCTTGAATAAGGCACTTCAACCAAGGTTGAACCAGGGGCAATCAGTGCACTATAAATCACAATCACAATGGAACGAAAGCATGAGCAAAATGACAGGCAATCAAGTAGTGAGAAATCCTAAAAAAAAAACAATAAAAAAAACACTATCATATATACCGTAAAAAAGTTGTTGTACAATTCAAGTACAATCAACTTGGCTGTTAAAGTCATTTCAACTTAAATTACATTAACTTAAAAAAAAATTAGTTGAATCTTGTATAATTTATTTTAAAAATTGCTTAATCTTGTCATAACTTATTGATTATATATTTTTACAGTGTGAATATACACACATATATATATAGTGATAAATCCTAAAATACTTCAGCAGATTTCAGTCAGTCCAACAAATCTGAATAGTCAGATGTGATAAAGCTAGTTTAATATAATCAAATCAATGATCACATCAGTATATAAATCTTTATGCGAACCTCCATTTAAATCTGAAGATTCAGATGTGATGACGCTAGTTTAATATAATCAAATCAATGATCACATCAGTATATAAATCTTTATGAGAACCTCCATTTTTCTTAATGACACGTAATAAAATTAATTAAATAATGTTTATTCACTCATATCTGATGAGTGAATAAACCTTTTCCATCAGGTTGTGGCGCGATAATTATGATTAATGTGCTTAATTTCATTTTGTTTCAGTAACCAAGGGAAGCCACAATGAATATATGTGAGAATGTATGTGTATGCATATGAATGCTTGAATTCAGAGCTTGTGGGAGAATTAGTTCCCCTTGATCCTCTTGTTTTGGCAGAATTGATGTGTATACTGAGACACCAGATGGGATTTTACCAGTCTGGGCTCACCATCAGGCTTGACTGCTGATAAGTATAAAGTATAAATCATTTAATACCTGACATATATCAGTAAAAATCATATTACAGTTCTAAAATATTACTGTTCCCACACAGCGCCCTTAAATATATGGTCCTATTTCTTTTTAATAAGACACACTTTGGTTTCATTGATCATTTCTGAAGCACAGCCAGACCAGTTGAATGGCTCAGTAAGGTTGCCAAGGATGAAAGCATTCACAGACATGGAGCAAATTAACTATGAGATGTTTATCTCAGCACGTCCAATCATGGGTTGCTATGGATGCTTTACACTATTCAGATCCAAAGTGTCAGCGGGTGAACAGAACAAGAGTGTTAAGTTTTGCAAGAAGTTTTCTCTTCAACAGGAAAATGACATGTTAATGGCCAGATTGTGAATCTGAAAGGTTTGCAAGGTAAAATGATGCTATTCTTATGGCCAAGCGTGATGTACGGCCAGTGACACCAGTTATATATGAATATATTTATTTGTTATGGCTTGATCTGGAATCAAACTGAGTGATTGCAATTGCAATTTTTTTTTACGGTTGTATGATAATTCTAATGTTTTGGCTTCACTGACTTTAAACAGTTTTCAATGTTTGCTTGACATAATTAATGCACTTAATTAAAGAAAGCGCATAAGCATAATAATGAACTGCTTCAACAAGTCTGAAAATATTTCTGCCCAGTGTGGGCAACATCTGTGAAATATTAAAGACAAATACGTTTCAGAACACATTTGATATAATTCTTGAACAAATTTGAGATTGACATCTTCCTATTTATTTTTAGACATTTATAGTATAAAATAAACTATTATTTCTCTACTGAATATGCAATATTATATCTCAAAGCCAAAATATGATAAAACACGAAAAGCAATCAGTTGCAAACCTAAGATATTTTTTGCATTATGACAGTTTGCCTAAAGCATAATGTTCCCATTCAGTGGTGTAGGCTACTGATCCATCCATACATTTCTTTGTCATGCATTTCTCAAGGTAAAGTTGATTAGAGAGTTGAGCGTGTCAGGTTGCCAATCACATTTCCTTTGTGTTCTAATATCAAGTGCACTTATAGTCAACAAAGGAGCAACACCTCAATGACATTCAAACGCAACCCTGTCCTGTTTGTATTCGATCACAAGACTTTGTGCAAGGTTTGAGCTCAAGAAATGCCAAAGCATCCGTGCACGCGCGCGATAAGGCAATTCTCCGGTATCATCATTGCTGCATGTAATTAATTGTTCCCTATAATAAATACTTCATATGTGGCGGTATTCACAGCCAGTCTGATATTTCCATCATGCAGTTGATTTTAAAAATTGGCCAAAGTGTTCGCAAATGCATGCAAATGTTGCGCGTAAATAAAATGCATGCTTCCTTACCAGTGAAGAATTGATCTGGCAGAAATTCAACACCTTGTGCAACTTGTTTCAAGAATGCAAAGTTGATTTAGCTTTGGAATTGGCGAGAAATCAGCCTCCATTCATGATGTTCCCACAGGTGCAGGTGTTTGATGTGTTTGGATCTGTCCTCGGTGCTGAAACAAAGACCCGATGAAGCGCAGAAGGTGATGATGATGATGATGATGATGAGGAAGATCTTACCTGTGCACAGCGTAATTCGCTCGGAATGATGAATGCCTTCTCATTAAAAGCAACGTGCACCACAAACACCTTCTTCAGACCAACTTAATGGTCAGTTCGGGGCTTTCTCCTCACTCTCAGGGTTTTGTGAGAGCGCAAGAATTCAGTCCACACACCTGCCAGCGTGAGAGGTTTAATAAACTCAAACTAAATCTCCACGGATCCATGGTTCGGTCACGATTTTCCAAACGTCTTTTACTGAAACTTGAGAGAGGATTTTTATTGAACAATATTGCCCAGAAATAGCCTATTAAGTGGCGCCTCAATAACACATGTTTGGTCCCCCAACGATTCTTTTAATTTCAAATAATGGATGTTGGTGTTCAGGGTTCGAGCTTCATGCATTCGTGAGGTTCGGGTGAAACACCAACCCCTGCGCCCCCTCCGTATAGGCTACCTCTCTCTCTCTCTCTCTCTCTCTCTCTCTCTCTCTCTCTCTCTCTCTCTCTCTCTCTCTGGCTGCTATCTGTGTGAAGATAGGTGGAGTCACAACAGTTCTTTTCTCGCTTAAAAATCGTTTAACTAAGATCAATTTTAATAACGGATAACGTGCGGGATTTCACACGGTAGCCATTTGACGTTCAGTAGGCTATATTCCACCTGTAATAAAACTCTTTAACCCTTCCACATGTTCCACATGGCACTCGGTTTTAAGTCCACATGGCACTCTGTTGATATTTTGGCTTCTGGAATTGTCAATTTTCATAGCAGAGTAAAGAGACACATATTTCTGGATTCTACTGATTCTCAGCTACAATTTGGATGCATTGTACACTTTTTGAGACAATTGTGTGTGTAATAATGTGATATTTCACCAAGAAATACAAAAACAGATTTTTTTTTTGTTTTTATTATATAAAATATGAAAAATAAATACAACAAATATTTATTCCTCAAAGGCTTTAGAACACCTGCAAAAAAAAAAAAAAAAAAATTGGGTGAAAAAATATAAAGAGGGATAGGCTAGTTCATCTGAACTATTTGTCCAACTGAACCGAACTGAACCGTCTCAGAGACGCCGGAAGTGATCTCTCTTGCGTCCACGTCACGCAATGTTTACACGGAGATTTCGGGAGTTTTACCCATGGTTTTACCTTTTTACTAAACATATTCGAAATCGTCTTCCATTGCGAGATGTAGACGCGCGAGAGATCACTTCCGGCGCAACGTTGGGGACGGTCACGGGCTCTGGGACGGTTCAGTTCGATTCGTTGGACTTCTGATCATGCTTCTGATTCAGATCAGTTCGACGGCAACAAGAGGTAAAAACTATATAAATACTGTTCGTTTTCTCACACAATCCGCTCGTTTCGTGTCATTAAATCATGTTTTATTAATTTGACTTTTCTGTGCATCTTCTTTGAGGCGGACCCCCATACATGACAGACAACACCGGTTTGACCGAAAAAAGTCAAAATTGAAAATACTGTGGAAACAAAGACACCTACATCTTGGATACCCTTGAGGTAAGCTAAAACATATCAAAAATGAACACTACAAAAGAGATTTAAAAAAAAAATATCAGAAAAAAAAACAGAGAAGAAAGTTCGCTTCGACATTGCAACTGTTTTCATCAGAAGCTGAAACCAAACAACTCGAGTTTCTGAATTTTTTTTATTGTAAATTACAAATATTAGTCAGATACTTTCAAACACCAAACAGAAATAAAAAGGTTAACAAATTTCTCATATCATAAAAATATAAACAAAAAACAACAACAACAACAACAAATATAGACATACACACACAAACATATTACAATTATTCGATTTAAGCAAAATAAATAAAAATACAATAAAAATAGCTAGCCACAGAATATATAAATAGTAAATTCCTACACAGCCAATAAATATTTGGTGAATTAATCACTATAGTATCAGGGAAGCTTACCAAATATATTTTCATAGCACTCTATAAGTCTTTTCAAGGAGCGTGAATATTTAATGACGCAAGCACAGAGGCCATTTATACTTGGATGTACCTAATAAAAATGTAAGGTTGTTACACCGCAAAGAATGGTGCAGAAATAATTAGCTAATATTAAATAATAATTAGAATTTAATTAGCAGAAATAGTATTTTGAAATTAATATGCAGCCCTATATATTAATGGAAACAAAATGATAATATCAAAAACATTTTTTTTTATTAAAAACAATGAAAATAAAAGATGAGACCACCTGCAAACAAATGATGCTGATCTTGTTTTTGATGAAATGCTTTGCTAGAAAAGTGCTTCTGTTTGTATTTCTTAAAACATATATATCTTTCTTGCAAAAAACCCAAAAAACTATATATATATATATATATATATATATATATTTTTTTTTACATGAGAAGAGAATTATAGCCTTACAAGCTCTACAAGCAAAGAAGCCTAATTACATTTAGGCTACATTTAAGCCAAAGCAAAGGAAATGCTGCCCACTTGCAGGTTCTGATCCGCAGGCTGATTCTAACTAACTATTAAGAAAGAGCTTTTAATGATTTAGCCATTCATCTGTGCAAGACACCATAAAAGAAGGTATAATTACAGAACGAAACTTAATGTACTGATGGCTCTCTGAGAAAAGTTCATACTGTATGCATCAGCAGAAGTCAGTCAGTGCTTAAGATCCAAGTTCCAGAACACTGTGTTAAGACCCCTCAAGCGCTGTCCAAGTTCTGTTCTCCCAGATTCTCAACCAATTAAAGGGGAATCGGGAGGGGGTTGGTCGCTGTTGGAGAGACACACACACACACACACACACACCGACGGCACGGGCACAAAGCTTGCTTTGTCTTCCATACCCACAAATAATTTGGATATTTTCAGAGGACGGTGGAGAGAAATGCACATGCCCACAGTGGTGATTAGAGCAGCAAACACTCGCAATAGATTATATAATAACCACCTCTAACACAAAGGGACCAATTTTGCCTTGAAACAGAGGTCTGTTGAACATCATAATGGCAGAGAGATCCAGAGACACCAGACTGAGTTTTGGGGAGTGCAAGGACGCTTAGATATAATTATCAGAAATTGCTCCAAACTTTTCTACCCATATGGAAATACAGTAGAGTAAATCGGTCAAATTTTTAGATCAATCTGAAAGCTGTGGTCAACCCTCTGGAAAACTGTTTCGAGGTTTGTATGATGCAACAGCATGTAAAACTATCCATTGATATGCTAAATAACAAGCTTGTGAAGCATTCATGCAAAAATAACATCTATTTGTTATATTCAGAGTTAAAGCAAGCATGAAAGTGAAGTTCATATATAGGTCAGCCATAATAATTGTGTATATTCTACTATGCTGCAGTAACTAGCTGATTCTGTGTTGATTTTGGGTCAGTTAACTAGTCAAAGTTCTCAATTAAACACAGGCAAGATGATCGAGGTACTTTAACTAGTCTAGATTTGCCAAAACTTAGTTCATGCTTTAAATCTTTGAAGGATATTTAGAGTTTAGTTTGATGCACATAGTAGCTTGTAAACTAAATTTTCGGCTTTGTTTTCTATCTGTGAACTAAACATATTACTTTCAGAATGACTGCAATTTTGTCTATTTTCCCTCCCCCTAACATACTGTATTTTTAAAGTCCCCCTTTAGTCAATAATTGATCATCTTTGATCACCAAAATGATGTGTAAAGGGATGCTTCACCTCTGGAAAGATGAACGAGTATTTAAAATGGGTAATTTATGTAGAAGAAATGTGAAATTATTTTGAATTTGGAGCTTTCTTGACTGACAAAAGCCAGAAAATGTATTTTTGGCTTATATGGATGAAAGACATCAACTCCCAAAATGCACTTGCTTCGCTGCCCTAGGAGGCCACGCCTACCGGTAACAGAGTGCTAGTTAAACAACAAGTCTAGGCTACTAGTGAGTCTCCGTGATGAGTCTGCCCGAAAATGTGTTTCGAGATCGCCCAAAATGTCCGAGATTCGACTTTTGCGTTCTACTGTCGTCATTCATCATGTTTACTGTGGCGAGCGGGACAAGTGAGGGCCGCGGGAGAATGGCGCGAATCCCATTAAAGGTGCCATATACAATAATTGAGGTAACAATAAACGAAAAATGAGCTACACGCATCAAAAGAATGAGAAAAAATAAGTGCAAAGATGTCATTAAAAAACTGACAAGTTATAGTGCTGCCGAGATATTAACCTGAATTAGCATGCTAAATTACTAGCCCCGGCCCGGCAGGTATCGTAATACCAGTTCCGGCCATGGGAGGCGGTATGCGGACGGGCAACGTTAGCACCAGCCAAACTGCAATACGCGAGTGAGTCGCGCTCGCGCCGGCTTGTGTGTGTGTGTGTGTGTATGTGTACTTGAACCTGATGTCAGTCGTGTGGAAATACAGCCCACTACTACATTTCAGTTCAGGGAAGAGTTCAAAAAATGATTGGTCGACATTATGCATGAGGAATACATTTTGGTAAGTTGTAGCATACTGTATCTTTCAACAGAGTTCATGTTCTTTTTCCAGCTAGTAGAGACGATCGGTTCACGTGCGCTAGGGATCTGTAGTGTAACATGTACAAGCGCCAAAACGGTATTTATTCTTTGAATTGCGTAATATAATTGACAGAATCTGAGAGCTTAACTAACCTGCTTGCTAAGAGTCAATTGCGTGTGTCTCACGGTGAATTCACGGCGCTAGCTTGATCAACATCAGCGAATGCTGTCTGTCAAATTAATTCACTAACAATAAACAAAACGAATACCATAAACTTCAAATAATTGCCCAAGCTTTTATTTTCCCATACCGTCGAAATGCACCAGCTTGTTTTTGAGATCTATGAGGCGGTCTTCATCATTTAGTGTTGAGATTCATAGTGTTTAGTTTAGTTCACTCTAGTGTTTAGTTCATTGAGTCTCTGATCTCTAAAAATCTCCAAATGTTCCACGTGAAACTGTGGTCTTCCAACCTTTTACTATCATGTCAAATGATTTGAATAACATGCGCGATGCTAGGAGCACAAGTCATTTTTTGGAGGTATACTGCCCCCATCTGTTATGGAATATGGAGTAGGATTTGATTTATTATGGTAGATGGCACCTTTAAATGTTTTTTTTTTCTTTAATTTTTTTCCATCATGCCATAAAATAGCTTGAATGTAACTCTACACCCTTGCCTCGTTTAGTATAGGCTACATAGTTCTATGAATATGCAAATTTCCCCCGCCTTTACTCACTCACACCAGCTCAGAGATCCACTCGTTGATCATCAAACATTGACGCGATCGGTTACAAGGTAGTTTGTTTGACGTCAGACACCAGAGATTTCAAACTTTCTGTTTGAGAATGTCTTTGGTTCACTGTAGTTTTAAGGAAAAAAACTTTAAAGTCGCCATGAAAGGGAAGTAGTGATAGTCTTTTCTTCCCTATTGTTATGTATATCCGAGTCAAACGGCTTCTCAAACAAGAACCAAAATTGACTTGAATATGTGTGTCATAAAGTCTTACACCACCTCCAACAAGACTTTGAAAGAAGTGGAGGCATTTTAACTCTTGACCATGTCTGTCTGTGTGCTTTTAAAACTTCTTTAGATGTCTCAAGAGGCAGTGTTGTGATGTGTTATTTTCCATCAGTGCCTATAGTATCAGCGACAATCTGGATGCATTTACGACGACACTTTGTAGTTTACTGCGAACATGCACTTCAATCTGCACTGCAGACACGACATAAATCGATCACACAAAGCGCTACCAGACATAATATAGAGAAGGATTTACAGTTTGTGTCTATCGGGAGGGCCATAAAGAAACAAGACATCAAAGTTCTGAAGTTTATTAGAACTGGTTGATTTTTAGTTATTAGTCAATATAGGGCAAATAACCAAGGCTGTTTCTCAGGGCCTAAAACTAAAAATATTAAAAATTATTGTTGTTTAGGCTAATAGAAATAAAATATACACTCAATATACAAATAAAATATACACAAAAAATCCGTAAAAATATGTTTCATTTAATTGACATGTGTTTTACCTGTATTTTGAATTTGATTGCTTTGTGTTTTAGGGGGAAACGGAAATGTCTGAAATTATTGATAATGTCCGGGTAATAATTTAATTTCTTTACACTGTAGGCTATACAATACACAATAATAAAAAATATATATATATATATATATATATATATATAAACCAAAGAAAAGAAAATAAGAAATAAAATAAGTTTAAACTGAAATAAAAGTTCAAGTTGACATACTAAAATTGCAAAAACAATGTATGATTTAAATATAAATAGAAATATTGACAAAAATATAATAGCAAAAATGACAGAGCACATAAAATGACTAAAATTAAAAGTAAAATGTAAAAATATAAAGGTTTATGAAGAAAGAAGAACCAGTTCTGTATGTTAAAGTCATTTATTAAGTTGCTCAACAACTAGCAGAACAAATCATTAAGAATTTAAATCAACATATTATAAACTTTATCTAAACTAACAATATATCAAGTTTGTCCTGAAGTGTGTGAACTCGCATAACCTGAAACTCTAGGATAACTAGGATAACATTCAAGATATTAACAGAGGAGCACAGTTGGTTCTATAATAAAACTTTTTTAAAGAAATTCAAAAAATGGTGAATAACACCTGAAATGTATCAATATTCATCATATAGAAAATCCCACTGTAATAGCTGAAAAAAATATACTACACTGATCAAGTGTAATTTGTACTCACTGGAGGATCAAGTATGCAAATACCATTTATATGATATCATATGAACAAATAATGATGTGCTCTAAACACCTTTAATTGCAAACTACAAATAAACTAAATCTGCTGCAATCGTCTCCCGAGCGAGGAAATGTTATCTGTCAGTTTCTGGTGCAAATAAAGATTTGGTTATGAACATATGGCTTTGATGAATGATTCAAGTCACAGAACTCTTCAGTTTCGGGAGTTTCTTTAGGTGCAAATTAGGAATTACTGAAGGAAGAAGACAGATTGTGAGGATAGAGAAGAACGCATTAGACTCAAATAATTGAAAGCTGAACATTACATGAATGATCACTAACATCAATGTCAGTTTAACTTCAGTCATTAGGAACTTATGATCAATAACAAACAAACAAACAACAGATTCACTAATGAAATACTAGTGAGGGTGCACTGAATGGTTCAAGACATTCAGGTTACCTGGCTCAATATGTTTGTCGACAGACACAATTTTGTACCTGCCGATTCCCTTCGCAGTAGAAAACAATCAACTAAACTACTTGTCTATTTATTAATACACACACACGTAACACTTTAAGGGATGGTTCACCCAAAAATGAAAAATCTGTCATCATTTTCTCACCCTCAACTCTGTATGAGTTTCTTGGTTCTGTTGAACACAAAGGAAGATATTTTGAAGAATGGCGGTAAACAAAAGGTTGATGGACCCCATTAACTTCCATAGTCTATTTTTTCCATAAACTGTTTGGTTCTAATCGTTCTTCAAAATATCTTCATTCGTGTTCAGTAGAAGAAAGAAACTCATGCAGGTTTTAAACAACTTGAGGGTGAGTAAATGATTTAAGGATTTTCATTCATGGATGAACAATTGGCTTTATGCACAGCTGCACTACTTCCTGAACTTCAGCCAGCTCCTTGTTTCCTGTCTACCATTATTGGACAAACTTGATTAATTCAGGTGTGCCTGATTATTGTTGTTGTGACTACTGAGGTCAGACACAGCTGGATTAATCAGTTTGTACAATAATGGAAGACAGGAGCTGGCTGAAGTTCAGGAAGTAGTGGAGTTGTGCATAAAGCCAATTCCTTTAAAGGGACAGCACACCCAAAAATAAAAATAATGTCATTATTTCCTTAACCTTATTCTTTTTTCTGTAGTTGACAAAAGTAGGATTTCTTTAAGAAGAATTTCAACAGTTAATAGTTGACAAGCCATAAAAAGGATACAAAAAAATCCCCATAAAAGTGATCCATTTGACTCTATTCCAAGTCTTTGGAGCCACACTATAATTTTCTATGAGAAGATAAAACAAACATTCACTGATCAAAAAACAAAAAAACCCCATAATTTTCCATTTTTTTCTCAATTTTTTCATTAATTTATTGTTGTACTTTTGCAGAGGGCAAGATTATCTTATTCCTCACCCAATCAAATGGCTTCAGAAGACTTAGACCTATAAAAAAAATGATTGTTTATTGAAATAAAGCTGAAATAAAATATGATTAAATGAAAAAATTCAACAAAAATAAAGCTAAATAGATCTATTAAAATAAATATTTCTTACAAAATAACTCACACTTAAACAAAAATTAAGAGACAAATTTAAAATGAACATTTTAAAATACAATACTATAAATAATACTAAAATAACACTGCTTGGAAACAAGTCCTATGGACCACTTTTATGGTGCTTTTTAGAGTTTGAAAGCTGTTACGAGTATACGTAAAGATTCTGCAAAAAGTAACTTGGCTTCTGAAACTACCAGAACAACGGCAGAATTTTCATCTTTGGGTGAACTATCCCTTTAAAACTAACTATATTCACATTTCCTCTTTCCATTGGCTCTCTCACTCTTCCTCAACCATCATCTCTCTGTCTTGGCCCTTGCCACTTCCTGCGAGGGCTGGAGGTGTGTGGTCACACCTGTCCGAGTCCAGATCCAGCTCCTCGAAGGAGGAGACGCTGGAGGTGTCGCTTCTCTCCATGCGCTCAAAGTCCCAGTCTCGGTCTCGGTGCGAGTGTGTCCTGGTGGTGGACGGGGCAGGTGAGGTGTCCCGGCTGTCGGAGGGGGGCAGGCGGCTCACAGAACTGCACTCGCTGTGGGAATCAGCACCTGTGTGTTTACACGCACACACCAAACACAAGAGGTGATTCATTTCGCCATAGTCTCACAGAAAGCAAGCAGCACCTCAGAAAATGAAAGCATCTCCTGTAATGCTAGCATACCAAAGCGTGTATAACATCTTCGTTTCCGTGTGTTTAATAGCGATTTCAGGTTGTTTCTGCACTTGCGCTACTTGCTAATTAGCAGTTGTGATTGTGCCTGTGGAAAGGAGATGAGGAGTGTTTGGAGAACTGCATGTGTTGGCATTGGAGTGTGTGAACAAACACCTTTGAAGATAACTAGGTTTCTAAACTAGCTGCTATATAGATGTTGGGCTCTTTTAGTTGTTTTTATTATTAGGCGGTTGTTTACTGAACAATTTCAAAAGAGGTCAGCATCCCTCCGTCTATGCATTCTCTTTTTTAACCTGTTTTATCATCTACTAGGAGTAAATTGTATATCTCATTGATAAGAAAGGTAATAGCACTTGCCTTTATACATTTGTGGTATCATTTATGTGTCTAACCACCTACCAACCATTCAGAACACCCTAGCAACTGCATGACAAGATGCAAAAAACACCCTGAATATCTTAAAAAAAAAAAACTCACAGCAACATGGCTGTGACATTCGTCTAGATTTTCATCATTTATTTCCTGCACAAAAAATAACTTTGAAACATGGTTGAACCCATACTAAAAATCAGGCCAATACTGACAATCCGATAATTATAATGATCATAACCAATTATTGAGATATTAAAATTCGATACTATTTTGTGTAATAAATAAAGAATAAAATACCTACAATGAAAGCATTTTAAATACTACATCAGTATAATAAATATAATAAAACCAAAATAAAAATATTACTTTTAAAATTTTATTGGAAATTAGATAAATTAGATCCGAAATAAAAATAAAAAATAAATTAATGCTACATAGAAACCTAATAAAAAGCACATAGCACAATTACTAACATTTACTTAGATAAAATTAAAATCAAGACTGCAAATATAAAAATAATGGCTAATACTAAAATAACATTGGGCCCCTTTATTCTTAATCCTACGTAAAACATTTCTTTGAAACATAGGAATATGCAAATCTCAAGCAATTTTTTTTGCAGCTATTCAATTAATCTTCTGCATCAGGAGTTTTAGACACACACAGAGTAACTGACGAACAGACAGACTAACAGATTGAGAGAGGCGAGTATCACCGAGAAGTGTGTGCACGCTCATGCTGCGTGTGAAGGAGACCCCGCACGCTCACACTCAGTGTGTCGGAGTGACAAACGTGTCAGGGCCGCCTGCGTCTCAGCGTCTCAGCTTTTTTTCTGCTTATGTCAGTGCTTCTAAGATGAAGGGATGTTTTGTGTGTCTATTAGATGACCGTTCACTAAGTGTTGTTTATCTGCCTCCTGCTCTTCCTGTCAATGTGGCATTTTGGTAGGGACGGACAGATTAGATGAAGGGGGGATAGCGAGGGATGACAGGGAACTGAGTCTGTGAAAGAGAGAGGAGTAAAGATAAAGAGATTGATGGAACAAAGTGTCCTTCAAATGCCATCAGCGTAGCGGAGGCCGCCGGAAAACTGTGACATTTTATAAATTTTGCTTCAATAACTCACAGACTACTACAAATGTGCCTGCCATCTTTTGGTATTTGTTTATGTGCATTTATTTGTGACAACACAACAGTAATAGTACTAAAAAATGTACATTTAGAATCACTGAATTATGCAATTTTAAAGGGGTCATTAACTGGCTTTTCTGGACCTGTCTGAGGTCAACTTATGATGTTCGGTTGGTTTTTGCATTCAAAAACATCAAAATGAATAAGTAATAGGCTATTTTCTACCCTAATTTTGAGCCTAGCTCAACAACGCTCTGTTTTTATGGGCGTCTCGCACTGAAGACTTGGAAGTAAACGCCCACTGCTGTGAGTGGATAACAGTTTTGCATATTATAATGAGTTTCACTCTCGATCCGGTTTGTCATCACGAGTGTAGGCATCTATGTTATTTAGCTATGCGTGTAATGCGCGAATCGGTGGGCGGAGCTAAACCGGCCGTGTTGAAGTAGGCGTTGATCTTCTTCTGCGGGGGTGGTGTTTTATCCTCTGACGTAATAGTCCCCACTTTGAAAAACGAGTCGTTTGGTGAGCCTGGTGTCAATAAAAGCTTACAGGATATTCTTATAATATGATGACCTTTAGATGTCGAAAGCTCAAGGAAAATTTGATTTCTCAGTTCATCACCCCTTTAAAGGTTCCAGTTTTTTGTAGAGGTCTCCTACAATAGGTTTACATGGTAAAAAAACACTTATTTTCCCATACAATATATTGCACATAACCTAATTTCTCAAAGACTCTGAAAATGCTTCGTTGTTCGAACCCCTGCTTTCGGTGAGCCTACTCTGCTCTGATTGGTCAAACGGCATAGACTATTGTGATTGGTCTACCACTTACAGCGCGTGTCCATTTTTCATGTCAATTCGAGCCCGAGAAATAGCCTTTGCATTTAAAGCATACATTACAAAGTTGAAATATAAAAGATTCTTATTATTTAATCATACGTATTAGCCGATAACACTTTTAAATTATTTAATTTAACTAAATAATGTGGATTTAATCAAAAAACATATGTTCTTTCAATTTAGTGTTACAACTTTTTCATTTTATAACTAGTGATACAGTTTCCCTGACCTCACAAAATCTGCCATCAGAGACCAAAGCTAAAAATCTGGTATTCATGTTAGCTGACAACCAAATAAAATAGGTATTAATTTGGATTCAAAAAGAACAATTGGAAATGAAACCTAATTTGTATACATCAAAATCATTTAACTGTAAATTTCTCACAAAGTAATGCAGTCTTTTCTCAAGCGAAGAGAGAACCTTAACCGTAATTAGTCTTTTGTGATTAGAGCAATGTAAGGTGTTAAAATTCCCCTTGGTTTCTCATATCATATGCGAGAGCATTTCACAGCCCCTGCCATTTAAAGCACATTTCAGTGCAATATGCCACTTTGACAAAACTCATTTCGCAGCCGTTTCGTGAACAGCATCTTTCACCAGGGAACAGATGCTGAAAGCTTAAATCTGAGCAGCAAGGTCAGCTTCACACTACTTCAGCAAAACACAGCGATTTCTTCAGCATGACAACTAAAACATCACTCGACAACATCATTTGCGATAAAAATGCATAGCTGACACAGCGCTGAAACATGACATTAAGTAATTTTTTTAGTGAATTATTGCAATTTAACTAAATCTTCAAAAAGAGCTGACAGTGCATATTAATAATTAAACGGTCAATGAAACATCCCTCGCAATTTCGAAACACAGCGCAGACATCTGCTCGGAGACAACCAGAAGTACTTCAAAATCAAGGAATAGAAAATCTGTTTTCTTCTGTTCACATCTGTTCTCTGCACTTTGTGTCATTACTGGCACATTGCTGTCAGACTCCTGCTCATTAAAAGTTGAAAACTTCTGTAATTTTTTCAGAATACATTTGTGTGCACTAATAAATCATAAGGATGTGTTTATTTTACTACTTGGAAAACAGTTAGTCTGACAAGTGTAAAAGCCAGGGTTCCTACATATTTTCCATTTCAAAACGTACAACAGTCCTCTGTAAATATTCTTATTTTCAGTTTTTTTATTGGTTTTCTCAAAGTGATAAGCCTAAAAAGAAACCTAAAAAGCTTTATAACCGGCACACTGTATATTCACATCAGTTTGATAGTGTTATTTGACGCTGAATGATCACCAAACAGCAAAGTACAGTCTGATGATTGTTTGCTCCTTTGTCTGTTGCTGGTTTGAGTGGCACACACACACTCATATTCAACTAAAGATCAAAAGAGACTTATGGTAAAAGACAAAGTGCTTCGTGTAATGAAAATGTGTGCCTTTAATAATTGGGTTTGAATTTATTAAATTGTGTTCGACAATCACTAAAGGATTACTAAACTTTTGCCATGAAAACAATGCCAAGGTCAAGGGTTTGAATTCCAGAAAAATGCATGAAATTTAAAAAAAAAGTAGCTTGAATGCCATGCGAGTTACTTTTGATAAAAACGTCTGCCAAATGCATGTAAATATTACAAATACAGTTATCATGAAATTTTATTTTCTACTGCGGAAGACAAAAAAAAAAAGAAAAGAAAAGAAGACTGAATTACTATATACTGTTTTTGTCCAAACAAGTAAATGGGGTTAGAAATCACATTGGACCTTTTTGACTTCCACAGAATGAGAAAAAAAAGACAAAACAAAAAAAGAAAGAAGACAAACTGATGACATTTCTTTATTTTTGGATGAACTATCACTAACTTATTCATAAAACACTTATTAAAAACAATATTTTATTTATGTTGCTTTTATTATAAGCCAATATTGAAAATATATTGGTAACACTTTATAATGTTTTTCATTTGTCAACATTAGTTAATGCACTAACACAAACTAACAATGCAAAATAGATTTGAACATGTATTAACCTTTGTTAATGCTATAGTTAATAAAAATGTACACTGTGCATTAACTAATGTTGACAGATACAACTTTTGATCTTAATTCATGTTAATCTCAACATTTACTAATCCATTATTAAGATGATTAAATAATGTGGAACTATTGTTCATTGTTACTAACTAATGTTAATAAATTGAACCTCGTTGTAAAGTGTTACCAATATATTTAGCAATATTTATTACTGATCAATCCATTTTCTGATCCAGACGATTTTGTGTTGGATTCTAAAGTTATAAGCCAATAGCAACTAACTTTGCACTAGTTTTGAGGGTCTGTGTGTCCCGCTGGAGGATCAAACGTGCACTTGAACAGGACAGTAGGAATGAGACATGCTGTAAAACATATTACATTTAGACCCAATAAACCAGCAGGCTTCATATTTGTCCTTTAATCTTCCGTCTTCCCTGCTTTAATCTTCTTCCTCTCATATATTATAGTTATCATTATGTGTTTGTTTCAAGGTAACAGACTAACAGGTGTAACAGGCATCACTGGGACAGGACAGCTGGTGTGGACAACACACCCCTCACAAACAGCTCGTGTGTTTTCATATTTGCTCGGCGGTACCTCTGGGCTTTGGTCTGACCAGGCCAATATGCCATTCACACACAAACACACACACAGATTGTGTCTCATTATCACTAGAGCAGGTGTAGGTGAGTTCAGCCAATATGACACAACCACATCAAAACTCCATAAGATGGTAGTTAATGCCTATTAAAATAACGTCATGTGAAATGTCAACCCTTGATACACTGGGCACACTAAATGTGAACTTGTTAAATGGACAATAAGCTTCTATTAGTGCTCAATAAACAGTGTTAAATCTTTGATAGGAGCCAACAAGTTTGTACTAACGTCATTGTCAAACCAAAGAAACTATCTTTGGTAGCTTACATGTCTCTTCCTGTCTAAATGGGCAGTTCTTAGCCAAAATAAGTATGTAGATAATCAAAAGTATGCCTTTGTTAAACTTGTATTCCTTTAACTGTGAGTTGCTTTAGATAAGAAAGCATCAATAGGAAAGCCATTAGTATACCTGTGATGTCCGTCTTCCTGTCCTCTTCAGACTCTTTTCCCAGTAACCTTCTTTGGGCCTCTCTAACTTCAGGAACATAGAAATCACCCTGCCGAGCCAGCGGACTCATATAGTGGATCATCCCTCCTCGGTAGATCTCCAGAAATGGATGCGCGCATAATTTCCTTTCCTACGAGACACACAGACAGAAATATAAAAGAAAAAAATGTGAATTAAAGTTCTTTCGATCTAAACACATATATATATAAAAAAAAACTCCGAAAGAGAATGATCCTAGCACAAGTTTAGGTTTTTTTCTTTTATGTTTAAGAAATAAATACTTTTATTCAGCAAAGTTAAACTTCAAAAGTGACAGTAAAGACATTTATAATGCACCAAAGACGTCTATGTTAAATAAATGCTGTTCTTTTGAACTTTTTTAATGTAGTACATCATAGTTTATCATAGTCTACAATCATAGTTTACACAAAAATGTAAAAAAAAAAAGTATTAATCAGCACAACTGTTGGAAAAAATGTTTATTAAGCAGCAAATTAGCATATTAGAAGGATTTCTGAAGGATCATGTGACACGGAAGACTGGTGAAGAATGTAATGATGCTGAAAAATCAGCTTTGCCATTACAGGGATAAATATCCATCCATCGACATCCTTAATTTGAACTCTAATAGTTAACGTGATGTATTTAATCATTTATTTCCGTTTATGCTGGGATTTATTGTGTGATAATGGCTGACTAGCTGTTTATTATCAAAGAGAGAGAGAGAGAGAGAGATATTCAACAGAACTGTGTTTGTTCACTTACTCATCCACAAAAAATACACAATTACATAGGGGTGTAACAATATATCGTGCCACAATATATCGCGATATAAAAATTCAACGTATCGTGGATAGTGACAATATATTTGGTGGATAGTCCCCCCAAAATAAAAAATACTGTGTGAGGAAAAAAATCTATTTTTTAAGAGTTTTAGTGTAAGAACCACATTAAAATACTATATGAAGAGTTCAGATGCAAAAGCCTCTAAGTGCCATTTGAAATTTTCTTCTAAAATGATCATTTTTATCAAGCTTGTATATTTAAGTTCAGTAATTTCACTTAAATGGCAATGAAGATTACCTATTAATTGTCATTTAAGTGAAATTACTGAACTTAAATACACAAGCTTGATAAAAATGGTCATTTTAGAAGAAAATTTCAAATGGCATTTAGAGGCTTTTGCATCTGAACTCTTCATATATAATGTTGATTATAATGTATATAATAAAGCAATAGGGGAATATTTGTGGGTTCTGATAATGTCAAATGTCTGATGTGACCAGTAAAAAGTGGCCAACATTATTTTAAATATATTAAGTCGGTGAAAGCGTGCAAGAATATTTGTCTACAATAGTATTTTCAGCTTCAGAATTATATTTTTATTATGGTGTCACCACTGTCCTTGGGTTACAAGCACCAAGTCCAAACCTATTCATTTAAACTCACAACGTAATATCTAAGTTAGCATTTTAATTAACAGTACATTTTTGTTAACGTTTTACCATATGTCTTGGAGTATCGCAATAATATCATATCGTGAGTTCGGTATCGTGATATGTATCGAATCGTGACATTAGGGTATCAATACACCCCTATACTTTAACATTTTCATAAAATAAATACAGTATAATATTCGCATGACAGCAATAACAGAAAAAAGTGTGTGAGAGAGAGAGAGAGAGAGAGAGAGAGAGAGAGAGAGAGAGAGAGAGAGAGAGAGAGAGAGAGAGAGAGAGAGAGAGAGAGAGAGAGAGAGAGAGAGAGAGCGCAAATCAAAGGAAGAGTTGAAAAGCCAAGAGCAGGTCATCCACAGACACTAAGATTAAAGATCTCTGTCCAGCCACTAACGCTTCCTCTTACCCCTTCCTATTCTCAGTTTTCACCCTAATTACTCACTGATTTTAACACTTATCCTGAACACACAAAAACACACTTCTCATCAAAGCTAGCGAAGCTTGCTTCATTTCAATCACATTTAAGGAGCCCCCAACAGAGTTGTTAAACCTCGCATCGAAACAAATCTGTCTTGTGATCTTTTCATTAAAATCTTTCGAGCACTAAATCACACTAATTGAAACAGGAATATAAAAAACAAAAAGAGGCTCACTTTGGGATGCTGAGTACATAGGGTGAATTGATCTATATTGGGATACTTTTTGCCATTGAAATAAGTGTGGAAAAAGTGTCCCAATCAACCTGAATTCACCCTACGTACTCAGCATCCCAAAGTGAGCCTCTTTGTGTGTTTTTTTAGGGTGTATTTCTGGTTTTAAAATCCCTGTTTCAATTAGTGTGATTTAGTGCTCGTAAGATTTTAATAAAAAGATTAACAAAACTTTTATAAAAAGATCACAAGACAGATTTGTCACAATACAAGGTTTGACAACTCGTATTGAGACAAATCATTTCAAAGGCACAAAAGTCTCCCAATAAACCTGAATTCACTCTAAATTGTGGATATCAGTATCTACCAAATGCAATGCATGTAAAATAGATTTGTCGAAGGCAAACTAAATGCATCATTTTGATAACTGTATTCTTTCCAAACCCTAAAAAACCCCATTGCTAATATGTCCTAACTGTAGCCAGCATGTGTTGCTTTCCCTTCAGGCTAGGTGTAGGTAACAGTAGTCAAATGTTACATCAATATTCATTAGGCTGATGAATATTTTAAAGTGAAGTGTTGAATATGTAAATCACAAATGGTTTGAAGTGCAAAAATATAAGATGATTGATCACCAATTGGACAGGGATTATATTTAGTTAAATTAGTTTGTAGAAATCACAAACAAAAGTCAGATAACTGCACCCCCGCAAAAAGAGACCGAGGTTAAATTAGCAGGATGTGTGTTTAGTCGTTTACGTGTACTCAAAAAGTCTGGGACATCAGGGACGTCTCTGTTCTCCCACCATCTGTTTCTCACAGACAAAGGCTTTCAACACCTGTATGACAGTCAGGCTGTTATGTCTAATTTAATTCTGATAGATTTAAGTCTATATGACCTTTTAAAATTATACATAAAAAAACACATATTCGTTTTTACCTGAATAACTCTTCATTGCCTTGACTTTAGCATTAGCATACATTCTGCTCCTATTTAAATCACAAACAAATTCAAAGTCTGAAAAAGCAAAAGGCCTGATCTGAACCCTCGATCTCCCCGTCACGGCGCTATTCCACATCTGACAGATGATTGACGTGTGCTGCCACGAACAAAGCTGGAGGACTGGGGCCGTAAACAGGGACAGGAGACAGAAGGGACTAGAATCTGGGGGATTACGTAACGCTATTAATATATCCCAATATAAAACAATGTATCCATGCAATACTGTTTGAGATCCAGTCCCTCAAGACCTGAAAAAGGAAAATGCACAGATGAGCAAACTTAAATGTCTGTTGAGTTATTGATTCAAACTAAAATTGGGCCGTTTGTTTGTGCAAGGATACACTTAAAAAAAAGGTCGGCTAATTTATCTTTATTAGAAGTTTTGGCTTTTTTAAAAGTCTAGTACAACTTAAAAATGCTGATGCGTAATCCATACGTGTATTGTCTTGGTCTCCCTAGTGAGATTTTCTAATTGGTTTATGGCTGAACTATTGATTCTAGATAATTAACCAGCTCACAGTCTCATGTGACATTCTGCAATCAAAATAAAGCTGAAGGGCAAGAAGTTTCATATCCACCATCATTATATAATCAATAGTCTTTCCCTCAAAGAATCAGCTATTGTTCCAATGTTTTACATTTACCTACTAATGCAGGCCTACAGAGTTATCATCCCCTTTCATAGAGGTCTGGGTTTGTATTTCATATTCCAAAACAACTCAATGAGGAGTTGAGCCAAACCAATCAACCTAAATATATAAATTCAAAGCCAAAAAAACTGTCAGAAAACTGGGGAAAATACAAAGGTTTAAGACTTTACCTCTCAGCATTAGTAGATCTTTCATTAGTTATTTCATTAGTTTATGGCTTTAGCTCTTTCATTCCGTTATAATACTTTTATCAAAATCTGAACAATCATAAAAAATATATTACACTTTGGAAAACTTGAATGGCATTTTAACTTTCCGAAACCTACTGCCGTCAACTACTTCAGCACTGTAGTACAAAGCAAATGTGATTTAAAGGAATATTTCATCCCAAAAAGAAAATTCAGTTTTTATTTTAATCACCTCATTCCAAACCATATACTTTCTTTCTTTTGCGGAGAGCACAAAGGGGAGATTTTTAAACAATACTAGGCTAATATTTGAAAGAAATATTATAAGGCTAATATTAAATATAAGGCTTATATTAATATAAGGCTAAATATTAAATAAGGCTAATATTTGAAAGAATAGTAACTCTTTTTTTGTATACCTCAAGTAAATGAGAACCGAGTCTGTCAAGCTCCAAACAAAAAAAAAACACAGCATAAAAGAGCCATTAAATGATCATAAAAGTAGTCCATATACCTATTAAGTCATTAAAATTTTGGTAATTAGCTATAGTGGTAAGTCTGTATATGACTTAAATTCAACTGTTGACTGATACTACAAGGTGAGAGATGGGATATCCATGTTTAAAAACAATGTAGATAACAAAATTAATGACACAGGAGAATGTAGAAAAAAATAGAGAAGCAAAAAGGCTCCATTGCAAACTCTAAGAAAAGAAAACAGATGGAGAGGAAAAGAAGAGGAATGGCTGCGGTAAGCCAGAGACGAAGATGAAAAGCTGTCAGAATTTCTCATCCAAATTCAAGAGGAAAGGTTCCATCTCACACTGCTCTTCTTCTCTGTATATCCTTTTAATTAACGTTCCCTCATATAGATTCAGTCTCGCTAGACTCACAGAAATAGAGAGAGAAAAACGGGGCATGGAAATGCCTTTCGCTTTTCTTCTTCTCAAGGGTAGCAGAGGGTGTGATAAGCATTGCCTTTCTACACTATGAAAAGGATCTTGAACTCTGAGATCTGTTTATATGCTTTCATTCATTCAAAGAATCACAGAAATTCTGATCTGGATGGAGTAATGTGATAGTACTTTGATACACAATGAAGGAGATACAATGACAGACTCAGACATTATCTCTTTAATATCTCCACTGCTTCCTATCGAAAACAAAGAGATTGAATGGAGA